CTACTGGCACACATCTGCTGCAAGCTCACTGGTGGGTGGGGCAGGCCCCTGATGTGGCTGGTTTGTAGGACTGGGGGCACGTTACTGCTGCTGGCTCTCTGGTGGGTGGGCCAGGCCCCCAGGACAGGCTAGCTGTGGGACCCAGTGCACAACTGCCTCAGGCACACTGGTGGGCAGGGCAGGCCCTTTGTGTGGCTGGTTGTGAGGTCTGAAGGTGCAAGACTGCTTTGGGCTCACTAGTGGGTAGGGCAGGTCCCTGTTGCAGGCTTTATGTGCTACCCAGCTGTAAACAACTGCCTCAGGTACACTAGTGGGTGAGGCAGGCCCCTGCACTAACAGGCTAGAGGGAGAATTCCAAAATGGCCAGCATCTTTGTCAGCACAGCTGAACTAGATCTCAAAAATGGCTGCTGCCAGGGCCTGGCTCAGTGGCATTGGCGGTTAAGTTTGCGTACTCCACTTTGGCAGCCCAGGGTTCGCCAGTCTGGATCCTGGGCGCAGACCTACACACTGCTTGTCAAGCCATGCTGTGGCAGGCGTCCCACATATAAGTAGAGGAAGATAGGCACAGATGTTAGTTCAGGGCCAATCTTCGTCAGCAAAAAGAGGAGGATTGGCGGTGGATGTTAGCTCAGGGCTAATCTTCCTAAAAAAAAAAAAGAAATTCTGCTGCCAGTGTCTCAGTCCCTGGAGGGTTGGGGGCTGGCCACCTCCTGTGTCTCACCAGAGGCACTCCAAGCTTAGTAAGTGAATCTCTTTTACCAATGGATTATGCACTTTTCTATCTGGTGGTTTTGTGCTGGGTTGAGTGAGTCTGTGCATGGGCTTTTTAAGAGCAGGTTTTCCTTTCCCTGAAATTCTGTAGTTTTTCTGGCTTTATTCCTGATTGTTTTCAAAGCCAGATGTTTGGGGATCTTGTCTCTCCTGTGCTGGATCCAAGAGCAGAAGTGTCTATTGTGGAGTTTGAATCCCCCACCCCTCCAGGAAAAGCGCCATGCCTTTGAGATCTCTCCCAACCATGAAGCACCATAGCTGGGGTGTGGTTCTTTCCTCAGCAGGGCTGTAACACTGCCTCTTCCATCCCTCTCTGTGTTGTCCCTTGTTGTGGAGGCTCTTTCCATCCAGTTTCAAGATCTCTCTCAGAGGAAATTATTTCACATGTAGTTGTAGATTTGTTGTATTGTGGGAGAAGACAAGCTCAGGATCTTCCTACACCACCATCTTCCAAAGTCCTGGGTTTTGTATTTTTGATATTTGGGTAGGCATAATGAAGTTAGTTACTTCTACACACACTATGGGGTAGATATTATTACTTATATTCATTACTTGAGCAATCCTCAGTTTATGGCTTGCGATCATTGGGCCATCTGTTAATATTATGTGGCTTTTCTGTTAGAGTCTGATGTTTTCTAGGTAGACAGTCATGTCATCTGTGAAGACAGTTTTATCTCTTCCTTTATAGGCTTTGCTCTTCCTGCCTCCCTTTCTTTCCCTCCCTCCCTCCTTCTTTCTTTTCCTACCTTTCCTTCCCTTCCATCTTTCCCTGCTTTCCTTTCTTTTCTTTCCCTTTCCCATTTCCCCTTTCCCTTTCTTTCACTAGCTAGTGCTTCCAGTGTGATGTTGAATAGGATCAGACATCCTTACCTTGTTCCTAATATTAAGGAATTGTCTTTCACCACTAAGCATAGTGTTAACTGTAGGGTTTTCAAACATGTCTCTACCAGGTTGAGGGTGTTAAATTTTATTTTTAGTTTGCTGAGAGTTTTTGTAATGAATAGACATTTGTCAAATATTTGTCTTTAAATCTATTATCTTGATATTTTTGTGTATTTGTCCTATCTGTTCTCTGTCTCCCTTTTTTTCTTTTATTCTTTTCTTTTGGATTAATTGCATATTTTTTATCATTACACTTTCTTCTCTTTTGTTAGCTTATTACTTATACCTCTTTGTTTTTTATTTTTAATTTTTAGTGGTTGCTTTACAGTTCACACTATTTATCTTTAACTTGTCACAATCTATCTTCAAGTAATGTTATAGGTATATCATTTCATGTATATTATAAGAACCTTACAACAGTATACTTCCATTTCCTCTCTCAGGGTCTTTGCAGTATTATTGTCATGTATTTTACTTCTATATATGTCATTAACCCCACAATACGTTGTTGTTATTTTTGTTTTAAAGTGTTATATTTCAAAGAGATTTTAAAAATAAGAAAAAAGCATATTTTATATTTATCTATATATTTACCATTTTCAGTGCTCTTCATTCCTTTGTGTAGAACCAGGTTTCTGTCTGGTATCATTTTTCCATCAGCCTGAAAGACTTCCTTAACGTTTTTTTGTAGTACACGTCTACTGCTGATGAACCCTATCAGCCTTTTTATGTTTGAAAAAAATCTTTATTTTACTTTCACTTTAATTAAATATTTTCTCTGGGTATAGAATTCTAGGTTGAGTTTTAGATTGTTTTTCATTACTTTCAGGGTGTTGTTCCACTGCCTTTTGGCTTACATCGTTTCTGGTGTGAAGTCTTCTGTCATTCTTGTCTTTGTTCCTCTGTAACTCGTGTCTTTTTTTCCTTTAGGTGCTTTCAAGATTTTTCTATCACTTATTTTAAGTAATTTTATTATGATGTGCATCAGTATATTTTCTACATTTTTCTTGCTGTGATCTTCCTTGAGTTTCTTGGATTTGTGCGATTATAGTTTTTATCAAATTTGGAAAAGCTCTGACCATTTTTCAAACATTTTTTCTTCCCTCTCCTCTTCAGGGAGTCCAATTACATATGTACTATATTGCTTTCAGTTGGCCCATCACTCACTGATGCTCTGTTCATTTATTGTCCAACTTTCTGCTCTGTGTGTTTCGTTTTGGATCGTTTCTGTTGCTATGTCTTTAATCTTTTAACAACTAGTATGCATTCCATTACAGTTCGTATTTTCATGCTTTTTTGCATGCATACTAGTTGTTTATGGGATGCCAGCTGTTGTGAACTTTACCTGGTTGGATACTGAATATTTTTAAATTCCTTTCAGTATTTTTGAGCTTTATTCTGAGACACATTTGAGTTATTTGGGAACACTTTGATCCTTTTAAGGCTTTCTTTTGTAGGATCAGAACGGCCTTTATTCCAGGGCTGATTTTTTTCCCCATAAAGGGCAGTACTTTGGAGTATTCTACCTGATATCCAGTGTATTTCAAGGTTTTTCCACTCTGACTTGTGGGCACATGAACTGTTTCTGGCCTCATGTGATCTGTGGGGATCAGTTCACCTGTTCCTTTCCAGTGGTTCTTTTTCTGATCTCAGATAGTTTCCTTGTGTACATGTGCTGATCCATACTCCGCTGAAGGCTCGAAAGGAAAACTGAAGATCTCTGGAGCTTTCTCAGTGCAGTCCTCTCCTCACATGCAGCTCTCTCCTCTCTGATGTTCTGCCCCATGAATTCTGGCAGCCCTGGCCTCCCTGAGTTCTCAACTCTGTTTCCCTTAACGTTAATTTCTCTCAAAATATCATGACAGATTAGTACTGAATAATAAATTTAAAAGTGCTTTATTTTCAAACATGTATCTTTGGCTTCCACTCTCTTTTTATTAATATAACACTGCCTAAAAGAGCATTTATACTGGATCTGATAGCATCAATTCAGTTCTTCTTATAAATGAAAGTAGTTTTATACTTGTTTTAAATTTCTGTTTGGTAAATATATTTTCAATATAGTACAATTATTTTTAAGCTTAATAGTTATTATTTAGTCCTTAGATGATGTAAAAACATTTAGGTGTATCAAAAGAGGTTTTTGTTTCATTAGTTACTACCAAATTTAAAGAATATGCAGAATAGGAAATATAAAAATGCCCTAGAAATTTTTTTAGTGCTCTACCTTTATAATCTATCATGCCTTTGATGCCTATCTGGGGAATTTTAGTGTTTCTGGCTTTCAAAGTATTTCTAGGTTGATTTTTTTGTTTTTGGTGTGTAGTATACCAAAAATTTGTTTAATGTCATTATTCATATCTGCTAACATCTTAATTATTTGGATTTTTTTATTTCAACCAAAAGTAGTATATGATGTTTGGTTTTGATGTTTATATTCTATGTAAGTATTCTGCTATAATGTTATCACATTTTGCTGTGGTTTCTGCCAAATGACAAATTTTCCATGATCATGCTCATAAAGTTTCTTGGATGAAACTCTGAAAGCTAAGCATTGCCTTGGTAAAAACTGAAGCATATATATTAAATGTTCTTTCTCATTTTTTATATACTTTCTAGTCTGCAGTATCAGTGTTACTTTTTCTCAAAATCAGCTTTCAATTTTTATTACTTGACACAGTCATTGACAGACATTTAAAATTCTTCATGTATAGTAAGAATATCTGATGAATGCTGTTAATCTTTTTATTTTTCACATTCTTTTACATTCTCATTCTTTATTTTTATTTTAATTTTTTTTTTTGAGGAAGATTATCCATGAGCTAACATCCACCACCAATCCTCCTCTTTTTGCTGAGGAAGATTGGCCCTGAACTAACATCCATGCCAAATCTTCCTCTATTTTATATGTGGGACGCCTGCCACAGCATGGCTTGATAAGCTGTGTGTAGGTCTGCACCCAGGATCCAGACTGGCAAACCCCAGGCCACCCAAGAGGAGCATGCGAACTTAACTGCTATGCCACTGGGCTGGCCCCCCATTCTTTATTTTTTACATCTCCAGAGTTTGCAATATAGACAAAGTATCTACTCTTTTTTGGTAAAATAAATAGTGTCTAGTGATTTTTGTTTGCTTTACCATTTGCCAGAAATTTGTATGTAATGTTTTTGAAAACTTCCTATTTGTATGGTCTTTGGAGTTAACTGCCACTACTAAGTCAATAACTTTTTTAGCTAGTATGTTTAAGTTTGGGTCGGTGAGTGTGGATTTTTATGAAAACTAGAAGTAACCACTTGAGTGATAAAAAAAAGGAATTCAAGTACCTTTCCCCTCTCTTTTGTATAGTATCAAAGGTGCAGAATCTGGGATAAGTTACATGAAGAACATATCAATGCAGGACGTACAGTTCAGGTAAGGCTATTATATTGTTTCTACTAAATCAACACGAAAAAGCTAGTCTTAAGAAAATTTTGCTAAAATAAGAAATACCCTTGTACCTGAATCCTTTTATGCATAGTTGTACCTATTTCCTTAAGGATGCACTTTTACCAGGAATTACTGAATCAAATGTCTTACATATTTTTAAGATTTTGATTCATATTACCAAAATTTCCTCCAGAAATGACATATCAACTTACTCTCTCACAATTAATGCATTTTCCAAAAACCTTACCAACACTGTTATTACCAATTTCCCAAATTTTTGCTAATTAGTAAGTTAAAATTATGCTGCGTTGTTGTTTTGATCTGGATTTTTTCTTTTATTGCTTTGAAGGGTAAAAGTTTTTTTCGTATGGGCCTTGCATATAATGTTTCTTTTGTAAATTACCTATTCGTGTCTCTTGCCCCGTACATATATTATATTTTCTTTTGTAAGAGCTGCTTATGATTTGAAGATACTGATTTTCTGTCTGTAATATTGTTGCAATAATATAGTGTTGCAAATATTCTTTTTAGTGACTGGCTTTTTAGTAAATAAATTTTAATTATTTTAAATTCATTTTTTAAAATCATATATTTACATAGTTAAAATCCAAATAAAATAAAAAGGCTTATTGTATACTACCTTTCTCCATCTTTAAGTCCTATGTGGAAGAAGCTATGTTTAATCTTTTTGGACATTTCCCCTGGTGTTTAGCTCTTTCTTCCTAAATACCATGTGTAGGCTGGTATTTCTTAATCAGGTTTATCGCTTCACTTCTTGCTATTGTAGGTAGAGATTAGTTTTTTACCCTTCTCTCCTACTTTCCTTTCTCCTATATAATTACGTATATTATAATTTTTTAAAATCATTTATTTGATAATTTAGTCCTCTGTGTTTTCTCTTTGCTCTTTTTTAAAAAATATTTTATTGCAAGGGTCAGCAAAGTATGGCTTCCGGGCCGAATATGGCCTGCTATTCACCCCATTTGTTTACATGTTGTCTTTGGCTGCTTTCACACAAAACAGCCCTTGAGTGGTTGGAGCAGAGACCATGTGGCCTGCAAAGCCTAAACTATTTACTCTCTGGCCCTTTGCAGAAAAAGTTTGCCAATCTCTGTTCTGTTGGGTGTTAGGATTGCTTATCTAATTTTCTTTTCTGTTTTCTGGGAGATTTCTTCAGCTTTATCTTCAATTGTTTTTACTAAATTCTTTATTTCTGATATTATAATATTTAATTTCCAAGAGCTTTTTCTTCTTCTCTTTTCCTTTTTTCATAGTATTTTGTCTTTGGATATAACTTCTCCTGCTTTTCTGAGACACTGAAAAGCTCATTGCTTGTCTCCTGGTGGACTTCACTTAAAGGTGCTTTGGCAAGCTGGTGTTTTCCTTGGATAAACCTCCAAATATCAGTATCTGGAGGTTGTTCTGGTTTAGTTTGCTAAAGAAGAATCCTCATTCTCCCCTTAGGGCAAGTAGGCATTTATTTTTCAGTTACAGAAGCAGGTTAGGTGAAGGTTGCTGGGCTTTCATGGTTCAGGTCACGCTTTTACATAAATCGCTTATTTTAGCCCTGTGCCTGGTGTTTCTGAATCTAGAGTCTGTTTCTACAAAGAATGCATCTCTGGTCCTCTTGCATTTCGGAAAGGTTACTATAACTGCAGTAAAGTGAATATATTGGGATAGAATGAAATGAATGCAAGAGATCGTTTAGGAGGGGTTACAGAGATGGTGGAGATGGAGAAAAACAGATTGATTTGAGATCTAGATAGAAATTTGATTTCTCTCTCTCTCTCTTTTTTTTTTACTGCTTGCTAACTAGATTCCAGGCCTAAAGATCAGGAACTATGTCTCTGCTATTTGCATGTCCCATAGTACCTGGTGCTCAGCAAGACTCGATGTTTATTGAATGATAGTAGGCACATTAATGTCGATGAGATTATTATGACTTGGATTTCTTACCATCTTCACTGTTTAATATGTCATTAAAAATCACTTATGATTTTCTTGAGTTAATGGTTATGGTCAAAGTGTTTGCTGATTTCAAAAATATATGTATTTACATTATTGACCTCCATCTGGCGCAAAAGATTTATATGTGCCATTAAAGTAGTGAGATTGAAACTGTTGTTAGAGGTAGATATTTGCTTCGTTTTATTCATATCTGCCCTGAATTTCATGTATAGGCTTATTTTTTGCTAGTTTGTGTAAAAATTATTTTTGGACAAACAATTTCATGAACAGTTATCATAGATTTTTTTAGATTTAGCATTATTAGATTTATATAATAAGAACTATCTTCACTTTGATTATAGTGTAATTTAAATGTAGTCTACTTTAACAAGCTTTTCTCTTATGGCTCGTGCTTTTGGTAGCTTGTTCAAGGAATGTTCTCTATCCTAAGAGTAAGAAGATATTTTCCAAGGAATGTTTTAAATGTTTTGCTTTTAACGTTTTAGTCTAATCCATCTGGACTTGATGGTATAAGGTAGATAGAAGTAAAATTTCATTCTTCTCCATTTGGAAAGTCAGTTGTCTTTCACTGTTAACTGATTTCTCCAATGCTATTTACATATCACAGTTTCATATATGTATGGGTCTGTCTCTGGTCTTTCTGTTCCATTCCACTGCTCAATTTGTCTATTTCTCCACCAAGTTCCACAGTATCTTAGTTAAGACAGTCTTATGATAACGCTTGATATCTGGTAGGACAATATTTCCACCTTACTCTTCCTTTTCAGGAGTGTTTTGTCTATACTCACCCCTTTAGTCTTCTGTATAAAATTTGGAATCTCGTTTTCAAAGTTCGTATACAATTTTGTTTGGAATTTGGGAATTGCATTGGATTTATCAATCTAGTTAGAGAAAATTGACATATTTACAATGTCTAGTTTTCCTACCTATGAATATGGGGCTATCCTTGCACTTGTTTATGTCTTCTTTAATTAATATTTGTGTATCTTTATAGTTTTATGCATACAGATTGTGATAGATTATACTTTTTAAAGATATCTGCAAAATATCTTCCATCCTACATGGTCGTCTATGGTATGACCTTGTTATTCTCCCACCAACAGGTGGAGTCTGTTCCCCTCCCCTTGAATCTGGGCTGAGGCAGAAGTAATGCTGCGTGGTTTCTGAGACTAGTCAGAAAAGGCCAGATAGCTTCCACTGGTTCTCTGAGGAGGCTTGCTCTGGGGGAACTTAGCCATGGCATGAAATGTCCAAGTATCCTGAGACCTCCTTGTGGGAGATAGCCACAGCCACAGCTGAGCCCTTAGGAACTTCCAGCCTCAAGTGCCAGCCACATGAGTGAGCCAACGTAGACATCCAGTACAGCTGAGCCTTCACAGGACTTCAGCCTCAGCCAACGTCTGACTTAACCGCATGGGAGACCCCAAGTGAGAACTGCTCAGCTGATGACTTCCTAAATTTCTCTTCTACGTTAGCAAAATCAAACAATGGTTTTAGGCCCTAAGTTCGGAAGGAATTTGTTACGCAACAACAGATGACTGGAATATAGGACTTACACTTATTTTGTTTCTCTATTTCAATGTTTTTCATTAATCTGTTACTATCTATTAATTAGATACTAGACTATTAATTAGATAATTGGCCTATTTAATTAATCTAGTACAACCTCATTCTAGCTGATAATAAAGGATTCTGAAAAATATATCACAATTTCTACTTTGAAGGAACTTACCTAGACGGGAATTCACAAAAAGTTAAATAAAATATTTAAATAACAGTTTAAAGCTTTAGAAAAAGATGTCAGTGTATGACTACTGATCAAATATATTGTAGAGACCAGTAAGTGATATACTGCAAGCTGTCTGGATGCTGGCTAAGAGAGGTATTGTTCTCATTTTTCAGATAAAAGAAGGCTGAAGAACAGAGAAACTTAGTGTTTGTCTAAAGGGCAAAGCCTTAATAAGTTGTAGTGCAGGAATCCAATCTGGAATTATTTTTAAAGATTTTATTTTTTTCCTTTTTCTCCCCAAAGCCCCCCAGTACATAGTTGTATATTCTTCGTTGTGGGTCCTTCTAGTTGTGGCATGTGGGACGCTGCCTCAGCGTGGTTTGATGAGCAGTGCCATGTCGTGCTCAGGATCGAACCAACGAAACACTGGGCCACCTGCAGCGGAGCTCACGAACTTAACCACTTGGCCACGGGGCCAGCCCCTAATCTGGAATTATTTTTAATATTAACTTAGGTGGATAGACAGTAGAGTATTGCACTTAATACCTACATAGTAGGTCCTCATTAGATATTTGTTGAGTAAATGAATGGAGGCCTTTTTCTCCTTTGATTTTTACTCCTTTTGGTGGTTCAGTGAATATTTTTTAAGCTATGTATATTCTTTTTGGTGCCTTTTGATATTGAAATAAGTGTGAAGTCATTACACTACTATCAATACCTTAGTGTAGTAGTTAGGTAATACAAGTAAAGAATAGTCCAGATTTATTTTAATTAAATAGTTATCACTCTGGAGCCCTTAATAATAAATTATATGATGTCTAGAATGTGTTTACTCTACGTTGTTTAAATGTTTACCAGTGGACTTGTGCTCTGTGTTTGTCAAGAAATCAGATTAATTATTGATACCAAATGTTTTCTGCTGTACACAATTTGCTCTCAAAATTACATGTTGTAAAAACACATTAGGAATCCTTTAATCAATATTTAACAAAGGCAAATATATGTACAGCCACTCTTCTTTTAATCATTAAATACATAATTAGTCATTTTTCAGAATTTCAGTTAACTCAGAATAATTACTTTTTACAATTATCAGTACAGATAAGTGTATATTTAAACATATCTTTTAATCTTTAGACAGGAATTTCAGGATATTTCTGAAAGAAGGGGAAAAAAGTCATAACTAGTTATTAAATTTAGTTACAGAACTAAAGAGAGAGATATGTCACCTTTATTTTACTGAAAGTTTGGCCATAGTTTGCAGTTTACTACTTGCATACTGCAAACCTTGTTAATTGCTGAGTTGGTATACTTTCTTCTTTTAAAACTTACTTCATTGGTTGTAGACCCATTTATCTGACTGTGAATATTGCAGCAAATTTTCAGAACTTGGCATAATATTTGCTTTTCTGATCTGTTTATTAGCAGAAACATTTGAACATTTACTATTAATACTATTCTGGACACTGGGGCTATAGCTGTGAGCAAAACAGAAGAAAATTATTGTTCTCACCAAACTTATGTTCTAGGGGTGGTAATTGGCGAAACAGAGACAGATAATTTTTTTAAGTAAATAAATGTATAATATTTAGATAGTTGTAAGTACCATACAGTAAAAGTAGGGCAGTTAAAGGGAACAGAGAGTCACAGAAGGTGATGAGGGTTCTTTTGTATAGGGTGGTTGTGGAAGGTTTCTGATGACAGTTGAGCAGAGACCTGAAGAAAGGAAAGGCATAAACCATGGGGGCCCGACCATCACCACAATCCTCGTAATGTGAAACCATTCAAGATAATATATTCATCTCCCCAGAAAGTTTCCTCATAGCCCTTTGTAACCCTGCATGTGGCTTCTCCCTTCCACGTCCCTCTGCAACCCTTCCCCCTCTCCGCACATGCACACTCATCCCCCAAACTTCCATCCCCACCCCCCGGTATCCAAGCAACCACTAACCTGCTTTCTATCACTGTACACCAGTTTGGATTTCCTAGAATTTTATATAAATAGAATCATACAATATGCACTCCTCTTTTATCCAGCTTCTTTCACTCTTCATAAATATTTTGAAGTTCATCCATGTTATAATGTGTATCAGTATTTCATTCCTTTTTTTTTATTGATTAGGTATTCTCTTGAAAGGATACATGACAGTTTGTTTATCCATTCATCTGTTGATGGACATTTGGGTTGTTTCCAGTTTGGGGCTGTTACAAATAAAGCTGCTATGAATATTTGAGTACAAGACTTTGTATGGACAAAGGATTTTATTTCTCTTGGATAAATACTTATGAGTGGAGTGGCTGGATCATATAGTAGTTGTTATTCTCTAACTTTTTAAGAAACTGTCAAGCTATTTTCCACAATGGTAGTACCATTTTATGTTCACACAGTTCCTCCATATCCTTACCAACATTTGATATGATTGGTCTTTTTAATTTTAGCCATTTTAATAGGTCTGTAGTGGTATCTCATTGTGATTTTACTTTTCACTTGATTAATGATATTTCTGTTTTATTTTGAATTAATCGAGTATTTTTCATTCATTTTATCTCCTTTCTTGTCTTACAAGCTGTAACTCTTTATTTTGTTATTTTAGTGGTTGCTTTAGGGTTTATAGCATATTTCTTATTAGAGTTTATATTCAAGTGCTGTTATACTATTTCACATGTTTAAGAAACTTACAATGTACTTCTGTTTCTCTCTTCCCAGTCTATATGCTATTGTTGTCATATATTTTACTTATACGTTTTACATACTTCATAGTGTTAAACAGTCAGTTATGTTTTTTAAGTGATTTATATATTAAAGGAAAAAAATCTTATGTATTTACCTTTGTTACTTTTATTTCTGGTGTGTTTAATGCCTTTGTATAAACCCATATTTCCATCTGGTGTCATTTGCCTTTTGCCTGAAAGACTTCCATTAACATTTCTTGGAGTGCAGTTCTGCTGGCGATGAACTCTTTCATCTTTTGTATATCTGAAAAGCCTTTATTTGGCTTTTGTTTTTAAAAGGAATTTTGCTGTATAAAGAATTCTATATTCTAATTTTTTTCTTTCAGTACTTTAAAGATGTTCGACTTTCTTTTCACTTGCATTGCTTCCAATGGGAAATCTGTTTTATTCTTATCTTTGTTCCTCTGTATGTGTCTCTTTTCTTTGGCTGCTTTTACTAGTTTCCCATTATCACTGGTTTTGAGCACTTTGATTCTGATGGTCCTTGGTGGAGTTTTCTTCATGTTTCTTGTGCTTTGAATTTGTTGAGCTTCTTGGATCTTTAGGTTTATAGTTTGCATCTGATTTGGAAATGTTTTGGCCATTATTTCTTCAAATATTTTTCTGTCCCCTCCCATCTCTCTTCTCCTTCAGGGACTCCAATTACACATATGTTAGGCTGCTTAAAGTTATCTCACAGCTCACTGATGCTCTTTTAAATTTTTGAGTTCTTTTTTTCTCTGTGTGTTTCATTTTGGGTGGTTTCTATTTCTATGCCTTCATGTTCACTACCCTTAGCAGCAGCAGTGTCTAATCTGTTAATCCATTCAATGTATTTTTCATCTCACATATTGTAGTTTTAAACTCTAGAATTTTGATTTGGGTCTTTTTAAAATATCTTTTATGTCTCTAGTTAACTTTTAGAACATATGGCATATAATTATAATAACTGTTTTAATATCCTTCTCTGCTAATTCTAACATCTATGTCAATTCTGAATCAGTTTCAATTGATTAATTATTATTCTCATTATGGGTCATATTTTCCTATTTCTGTGTATATCTGGTAATTTTTGATTGGATGGCCTTTGCCTAACTGGGTGCTAGATATTTTTATGTTCCTATATATCTTCTTGAGCTTTTTTCTGGAATATAGTTAAGTTACTTGGAAACATTTTGATCCTTTTGGGTCTTACTTTTATGATTTATTAGGCTTGACTGGAGGTGTGCTCAGTCTAGGGCTGATTATTTCCCCACTACTGAAGTAAAACCTTTCTGAGTGTTCTGCCCTGTGAATTAAGAGTTTTTCCAGTTTAGCTGAGGGGAACAGATGCTGTTTCCAGCTTTGAATGAGTGCTGGGCACTGTTCCCTTTAATCTTTTTGTATGGTTTTTTTCTCCTAGCTTTGGATAGTGTCCTCATATACGTGTTCTGATCAGTTCTCTGCTGAATACTTGGGAATTACCCTCTGCCTAGCTCCAGGATTCTCTTTCTGTGCAGCTCTCTCCTCTCCAGTACTGTTCTGCAAACTTTGCAGAAGCAGAAGTCTGTTGTTATGCTTTGAAGCTGTGAGTGTAGAATGGGTTTAACTGTTTTCTCCTCTGGGATAAGAAAGCGTTAGCATTAAGAAAGATTTTGTGAACAAATTTTGAAACTAGGTGAAAAAGTTGAAAATTGTTACTATGGTAATAAATCACTGAAGAACATGAAGTTGGCTTTTATAGAAACTTGATCAGCCTAGTCTCCATAGCACTGGTGATACAGAACTTTTGAGAACAGAGACTTTTTGGGACTCACCTTAGAGTTTCTGATTCAGTAGATTTCAGACCATATTTGGAAAGATACTGCCCTACAGAGTCTATCCGAGTTCCATAGGTAGCATAAATACAAAAAAAAAGATTCAGCCATGGATCTTGTAGATGTAAAATGTGACTTTCATGATTTTATTAGAAGTATAGAACACTTGAGCTATCTACTTTAAAAAATTTTTTTAAAGAGAATTTAAAAGAGAGAGGCAATAGAAAAGAGAAGGAATGAGGAGGAGAGAGGGAGACATGAGGACAGTAGAGAAAAGTTAGGAGAAAAGAAAAGATTAGAGAGAAGCAAGGCCAGGTAGAGAATGGAAAAGATAGATTAGTAGATTCCAAAATGAATACTATTAGAAGGTAAATTGTTTTAGGTTATTATGAGTTTCGGAGGAATTTAAGCTTAAATTTTGCCTTGAAATATTTATGAGCTGATTAACCAGGATTTAGGATGCTTAGCCTCTGCTCTGATTGTCATAGGTACTATAGAACTTCAGGAGAAAATTAAATCTAAGGCACCATCAATTGTAAGACACACCATTATTTTGTGTCCCTCTAAGAAAGAAAAAGTGCTGCTAGTTAAATATGGCACGGTGCTTTTTTTACCATCCGTTTTAAGGTACATTCCAATTTCAGAGATGTTAAAATGTGTGAAAGATATTGTGTCCTAAAATTGATGAAATATAGCGTTTAGGAAGTTTCTACTCTTCTTCTTCACCTCTGTCTTTTCCCAATCTGTTGTTTTTAGTATGTTCTATTTTCCCAGCGTTACTCTTCAGGGACAGCTCACATCTCACCTCCTTCATGACGCCTGTGTAGATCCTTAAAATGAGATGTTCCAAGTTTCCTTTGAACATGTTTCTTATGCCCCTTTCAATTTTGAATATTTCTCCTTAATAGAGAATCAGAAGCAAAACAGGAGTTAAGTAGTTCTGCTTTCTCTGCATCATCTGTTACCATTATACCATCTGCCCCAAGCAGTAGGCCTAAACCTTCTTTCTTGTTCTTCTTGCTCTACATGTATTTTTTAAACCCTTTTTATTGTTCTTAACATTTTTCACCAGCCTCCGCTCATTCTGGGCTCACTCTTTACTTACGTGATTCTCCTTGTTTCACACCTCTCTTTTGTACTCATCCTTGTTCACATGCCTTTCTTTTCGTTCTTTTATTTTTTCTTAAATAAGTCTCTTAAAATTCTGAACTTATCATAGCACACCTTACAAAGCCGTATTGGATTTTTAAGATGCCATTTTCTTTTTTTTCTTACCAGAGTAACTTTGTTTTATATTGTCAGAATTTCACCTTTTAGAAACTCTCTTAAAAAAGATCTCCCTCTCACGATATAATTTCTGCTGTGGCATCATACAACTGTTTTTGCTAAACTTGATTCACTTCCTTAAAGTGTCAGTTTCTAGTATTCCTTTTTGTAACCAATAGGAACTCCAAGATGGCATGGTTGCTTTTTCTCATGGGTTTCATTTCCACTACACTATTTTATGCTTGAACGTCAGAATTAATTCCAAAAATGTAGTTCCTTTCATTATTTCTTCCAACTGATGAAAGATGAAATGCTAAAATGCTATAAAATGCATAAAACATAAATATACACCTAAACAAATTATTATAAGGTGAACACTCATGTAACCATTACTCAAATCAAGAAATAGGACATTACCAGCATCCTGGAAGCCTTCATAGCCTCTTCCCAATTCTAGCCACCTTTCTCCCTCCAAAGGTAATCACTATTTTGATTTATGTGGTAACTACTTTTTAGCTTTCCTGTATAGTTTTACCACCAAAATGTGTCATTAAGACTATAGTTTGGGTGCTGGCCTGGTGGCGCAGTGGTTAAGTGTGCACGTTCCACTTCGGCGGCCCAGGGTTTGCCAGTTCAGATCCCAGGTGCGGACATGGCACCGTTTGGCAAGCCATGCTGTGGCAGGCGTCCCACATATAAAGTGGAGGAAGATGGGCACGGATGTGAGCTCAGGGCCAGTCTTCCTCAGCAAAAAGAGGAGGATTGGCAGCAGTTAGCTCAGGGCTAATCTTCCTCAAAAAAAAAAAATGACTATAGTTTAATTTAGTCTGTTTTTGAATATTATATAAATTGGATTAAGCAGAATGTATCTTTTGTTTCTGGCTTGAGATTTATCTATGTTGTTGCCTATAGCAGTAGTCCGGTCATTTTCATTGCTGTATATATTCCATTGCATGCGTTTACCATAGTGTATCCATTCTATTGATGGACTTTTGGGTTGTTTTCAGTTTCTGTTACAAATGCTATTAACATTCTTGTATATTTTTACTGGTACACATGTGCATACATTTCTGTTGAGTATATTCCTAAGACTGGAATTGCTGGCTCATCATGCATCTTTATTTTTAACTTTAATAGATTATGCCAAACTATTTTCCGAAAAATAGTTGTACTGATTTTATACTTCTTCTAGCAGTGAATGCAAGTTCCTTTGGGTGCCACATCTTCGCTAATATTTAGTAAAGTCAGACTTTATTAGCTGTTCTGGTGGATAACTAACTACAGTGTAATTTACATTTACCTGATTATTAGTGAGATTGAATAACTCCTTATTTGTTTATGAGAAGTGCCCCTTTAGGGTTCTTGGCCACATTTTTATGGGTTGTTTGTCTTTTTCTTACTGATCTGTAAGAGTTCATTGTTCTGCCCATGACCCCTTTATCAGTGTATGTGTTGCAGTTATCTTCTTCCACTCAGTGGTTAACCTTTCCCTTAGTTGTGTTCCTTCATGACTGGAAGTTCACTTAATTTAGTATAGTCTAGGTTGTCAATCTTTTATGGTTAATGCTTCTTGTGCCACATTTAAGATGTCAATCCTACCCCAACATCGTGAAGATACTCTTCTATTGTTTTGCCTATCACATTTAGGTCTACAATCCATCTTGTTGATTGTTGTGTATGACGTGAGGTGGTGTATGCAGTATGGATACTCGGATGACCAAGCACCATGTTTTGGAAAGATCCTGTTTCCCAGTACTGCCCTGCAGTACCACCTTTGTCATAAATCCCATGCATGTATGTTTGGGTTGTTTCTGGACTGTTGGTGTATTTGTCTATTCTTGCACCAGTGCCACACTGTCTTAATTACTGTGGCTTTATGATTAGTCGATGTTTAACAGAGGAAGTTCTCCTACATCTTCTTCAAAAGCTAATCTCGGCCCTGTCTATGCATTTCCATATACATTTAGAATCAGCTTGTTGAGTTCCGCCAAAACAAAACAAAGATCCTTTTCATATTTATTGAATCTGTGTATTATTGAATCTATAGATTCAAAGTTTATTCAATTTTATTGAATTAATAGATACTGAATATATAGATTAAATAGATTTATTGAATCTATTGATCTTTAGGCGTCTATCAAAGTGACATCTTTGCAATATTGAGTTGTCCAATCTATGAACATATGAACATGTTCTATCTATTGAATTATCCCATTTGCAACAACATGTTTTCCTTTGTCTTTAATGCTATACTTGAGTATTTGCTAACCTGTTCTGATTCTGTCTACCTATTTATCCCTTTACTCTGTGCTTTGTAACTCCTTTCTCCCTTTTCTTTTTCAAGTATGAGGGCCTTCTTGAGGATTTCTTGTAGTGGGGGTCTTGTGGTTACAAACTCCCTTAGCCTTTGTTTGTCTGGGAAAGTTTTTATTTTGCCATTATATCTGAGGGGTATTTTTGCTGGGTAGAGTATTGGCTGAAAGTTTTTCTCCTTCAAAGATTTGAATATGTCATTCTAGTCTCTCCTTACCTGTAAGGTTTTTGCAGAGAAAACTGCTGAAAGCCTGATAAGGTTTCCTTTGTAGGTTATTTTCTTCTGCCTTGCAGTCCTTAGCATTCTTTCTCTGTCATTCACTTTTGCCAGTTTCACTACTATATGCCTTCTCATAGGTCTTTTTACATTGACATATTTAGGAGATCTGATAGCTTCTTCCACATGGATTTCCATCTCCTTCCCTAGGTTTTGGAAGTTCTCTGCTATTATTTCTTTGAACAAGCTTTCTGCTCCATTCTCCTTCTCTTCTCCTTCTTGAATAGCTATAATTCTTATGTTGCATTTCCTAATTAAGTCAGATGTTTCTCGCGGACTTTCTTCATCTTTTTAGTCTTAGTTCTCTCTCTTCCTCTATCGGGAGCATTTCAACATGTCTATCTTTAATTATGCTGATGCTCCTCTATGACGTCCACTCAGGCATTCAGGTAATCCATATTTTGTTTTATTTCTTCCATTGTGTCTTTCATCTCTAATATTTCTGATTGATTCTTCTTTATAGTTTCAATCTCTTTTGTGAAGTAGCTCCTGAACTCATTGAATTGGTTCTTTACATTCTCTTTTACCTTGTTGAGTTTTTTGATGATCGCTATTTTGAATTCTTCATCATTTAAATTACATATTCCTGTGTCCTCAGGATGGATTTCTGGGTACTTGTCATTTTCTCTCTGCTCTCAACCATTAATATAATGTTTGATATTGCTAGAGGACGTGACTCTGTTTTTACGCATCCTGGTATTATTTGGTTGCAGTTACTGCCTGTTGCCTCTGGGCAGGGGTCAAGAGCCAGGTATTCTGAGCCCTGTGCCTTCCGCCAAGATCCCAGGTGCTGGAGCTGGCCCTGGGTGGGTCGCGGGAGGGGCACTTTCTCCTGCTGCTCTCAGGGTTTTCTCACTCTGCTCTCGCTATCTGCTCTCCTGCAGTGTTGGCTTGATGAGGTCAACCCCGTGAAAGCTTTCACCCCCATAGAGGGCTTCCCTCTAGGCTGCAAGGGCCCTCGGGGATCCTTGAAGTTCCTGTGAACAAATGTCCCCTCCCCTGTTCCTTCCCTCTGGGAGGCCTCCCACCATCCAGATCACAGTCTCTAGGGGAGGGAGCAGAGTTTTCTCATATCCCGTTCCACTTCCTCTGAGGGGGACTCCAGCCTCTCTGTGCTCCGTCCTATGGCTGCATGGGTCTCTCAGACGTTTTTTGTGTTGTATGTGTATGTCCTCTGTTGGAGTATGAATGTCTTTTTCGTTGTGTGGTGGAGGGGTGAGATTACCAGGACAGCTCACTCCGCCATGATGATGATGTCACTCCTCCATTTTTTTTTCACTTTTTTAATGTGACTGGTAGAAAAGTCAAAGTTCCATGTATAGCTTGCATTTGTGGTTTGCATTGTATTTCTGTTGGATAATGTAGCTATATAGTGAAGTCATTGAGAACACATTCTGTGTAGCCTGGATTGGATTCCTGGCTTTACTTTTTAGTAGAAGTATAATACTGGGCTGTTTTCTTAATTTCTTACTTTAATTTTCTCTTCTGTAAAATGAGAAATAAGAGTAATATCCATTTCAAAAATAAATTGTGAAAGTGAAACAAGATAAAGAAGATAAAGCACTTAGCACAATGAACAAATTACAATAAATGTTGATAAAAATTTAGCCATTTTTTTGTGTTTTTGTTAGTATACTATCAGATTTTATAGTTCACTGGATATTTTCTTTCTGTCCCTTAACATCTTTCCCTTCACTGATAGTAGTAGAGTTCTTAGCTGGACACTATAATTTGACTGGGGACATAAACATATGTATGAATTCTATAAGAGAGGAAGAATATGCCACAGGCATATTCATTAGCTGCAGAAAATTTAATGCTTCTCCAAGATAGTATTGCCTAAAATATGTCTGCGGACTATGTGGCAACTATATAAACATGCTTTGCAACTGTGGTCCAAAAAGGAATCACATATCCAAGAGATGGTAGTGTGTTGGAAACAATATTGTTCCAGGACTTGAGAAGTGGGCCCTAGTCCTAATTCTACCACTGTGTTCATCTGGACTCCAGTTTCCTTATTCTAAAATCATGAGGTTGAGTTAGATGATCACATAGGCCCCTTCGGGGTCTATGATTTTTGCATATTAATGCTTGTGTATCACATATTTTTAATCTATTATCCAATTATCCTTAGGTTTTCCAGCTTATATTGGAATGGTAAGAGTGGACATAAGGTTCAAAGAGATATAGAGTCTTGGTAGGATAGAGGCACAACTGTTTGATTCATCCAGAAAATCTTACAAGATGCTTTAGGTTGCAGCTAAACTGTTTTTTCCAGAATTGGCTTTAAATGTGTCTTTAGATTGTATTAAGGTCCCATATAGACAGGAATTAAAATTATAGTTTAATGGAAGGATTGCTGGACTTGTAAGAATAAGTTGGGTTTTAACCCAACTTTGCTGCTAGACAATTAAGTAAATCCTGAACAAGTTTTCTCTGTTTTGACTTCTCTATATGTAGTAATATGGAATGTAACACCTTACTCAGAGTAGGCACTTGAAAAATTAAAGAAATTAATACTTTTTGTCCTGCCTACTGTTCAGGATTTGCATTAGTATCTATGAAAGTACATTAGGGGAAAAGAATTGAAAATGTTATATGGATAAAGATCTATGGTTTTTTTAAAAACTCTCTACTCAGACCATTCTTGTAAGTTCTATTTAATTGTCAAAGGATAGTTGGTTTTTATTTTTAAAGTATAGAGCATTGAAAAAGATGGAAATATCCTCAGTTCATTTCTTGAAGCTAGCACAACCTTGAATTTGTGAAAGTGAGTTTAAACTGAGAAAAGATAGTGTATACACACACATTGGTCACCTATACACAAGTGCACACAATGGTTACACACATATGCTAAAATCCAAATAAAATATTAGGATATCAAATTCAACAGTGTATTAAAAAAATGTATATATTGACCAGGAAAGGGTTTATCTCAGAAATATAAAGATGGCTCTATACCATGAAACCTGCCCATAATTCATTATATCAACACATTAGAGGAAAACTTATGATGATTTTAAAAAGAGGGGAAAATCATTTGATAAAAATCCATTAACTTCCCTCAGAGAGAAATGAAAGTAAAACCACAGTGAGACAACGTGTAGTACTGGCAGTGTGTGGGAAAATGGGCACTCATCCTTTGGTGGCAGTGTGAATTGTTACAGCTTATGTGAAAAAACTGATAATAGCTACTGAAGTAAAAACACACACTATCCTTTGGGTGCTCTCACTTTTGGGACTCACTCCTACAATATATAGGATAATAGTATTACTATAATACTAATATATGCTGTTATAGTATATTAGTATTTATAGTCAAGGATATCTGTTTCATAGTTTGTGATAATTAAAAACTGCAAACAACCTGAATGACTATTAATCACTGGAAGAGTGATTGAATAAATTATATTACATCCGTACTATGGAATATGGTGCAACCTTTGACCAGGAGGGATATCCATGATGATACTGTTAAGTTGAGATGTGGAGTGACAAATTGTAGATTATTGTAATCCTTCTTTTGTGTGTGTGTGTGTGTGTGTGTGTGTGAGGAAGATTGGCCCTGAGCTACCATCTGTTGCCAGTCTTCTTCTTTTGCTTGAGGAAGATTGTTGCTGACCTAACATCTGTGCCAGTCTTCCTCTATTTTGTGAGGGATGCCTCCACAGTGTGGCTTGACAAGTGATGCTAGGTCCACAGCGAGGATCCAGACCTACAAACCCCTGGCCGCTAAAGCAGAGCGTGCAAACTTAACCACTACACTACTGGGCTGGCCCCAATGTAATCCATTTTTTTGTAAAATGTAAGAAAGAATATATATGTTAATGTTTGCATGAGAAATGTGTGAAAGGACTGGGTTAAGAGAGGTGGTGAAATTGGTGAAGTGGGGAAATCATTGATTTTCTTGATATGTTTCTACAGTATTTGATTTATTATGAAGTACATTTGTTACTTTTGTAATAATCACATTTAATAAAGAAAAAGATGCTAAATAGATTCAAAGTATGAGGAGGTGAGTTCTAAAGAACCTGGATTTGGCCAGAGACATGAAACATAGAAAAGTATTATGCATACCTTTTATTGTAGAGAGTACTTGTAATCATTTTCATTCACAACCATTATCACAAATTATGTCTGAAAATAAAGATATTTTATGGTAAGAGATGGAGGATTTAATGATTTTTTTTCTTTTATAGCAACTCCGCTCCAATATTCGAGAAATGGAGAAACTTTGTTTGAAAGTCCGAAAGGATGATGTAGGACTTCTAAAGAGAATGATAGATCCTGTTAAAGAAGAAGCATCAGTAGCAACAGCAGAATTTCTCCAGCTCCATCTGGAATCTGTAGAAGAACTTAAGAAACAGTTTAATGATGAAGAAACTTTGTTACAGCCTTCTCTGACCAGATCCATGACTGTTGGTGGTAATGTACCAAGTCTTATTCTTGATCATGAGTTCACCTCCTTCTATAGATATTGCAGATAGTATTTAAGTTTCTGGGGATCACCTTCTATTCCAATATGCTGAATTCTTGCTCCTTGAGTCTGCCTGGAAATGCATAACCTAGAAGTTTTGCAGCACAGAAATTTTGAGGCTATGCTGTATAGAGTGGAACTTCAGGGTTTCAAGTACCTATTTGTCTATAAGTTGAAAATAAATTTTAAAGTGTTTTGTAAGGAGAATGTCATCCTTGTCTACAGAGCATTCCTCTCTCATCTCTAGGTGCAGGGACAGCCTGGTCAGGCAGGCTTCTTCCTAGGGCATTGTGGTTTTCACAGCAGATGTTAGATCTGTCTACCAGCTCAGTTTTCTGAATTTAAGTGAGAACATAAAAAAAAAATCTGCACTGGGGGTCATGCCATCGACTTTTGTGGAGTGATACTCTAAGAAACAGCCCATGAAACTTGTCACTATATCTCTTCTAAGGATGTAATTGATAACTGTTGATTATATTATACTGATGTCTTTATAAGAAACCCTGAAAAAAAGTTCTTGGTTTATTTCATAGTAGTATTTCAAAGCAATTGGTCTTTTTTTAATCTTATGGGTATTGAATGGCGTAAGTGATAAGGTTTCTTCACTTGAGGTGTTTACTAGAAAGCTTAAATCCAAATTTTTTGACTACCAAAAGCCAAATTTTTTAACTATCCTGGCTTCACTTTGTAATTGCTGCCCTTGTGTTTTCTTTTTTGTTTTAGAGTTTCTCTTTTATTTTTAATTTATGCCATCTTGTTATATTTTATGTATGTTCTAAGCTGCCTTAAATCTTTATGGAAAAGGTGGGGTATAAATAAATTACAAATTAGAAAAGAACCTGAGAGATGCTGCACCTGTCCAGCTTTCCTCTTTCATTTACCCAGGAGGCTCCTGCACCACTCCCTGTCTCCAAACCCAGATTATTTTTAACGTCATATTTTGAGTGCTAATGATCCAGTAATTTATAGGAAAATAAAAAAAATTGGAAGAAACATCTAGGCCATCATCCAGACTTTCTGGGTAATCTTGCTTTTGTTCTGTCTTTAGTATCTAGCACTTAGTACATGGTGCTTGGCACATAGTGAACCATTAATAAATGTTTTATAAATATGAGTGAATAAGTATCTTTTTAGAGACAATTTCGTAATTTGAGATGTGCTATAATCACTTCACTCTGTGGGTAACGAGTACCTAAAGTGTTGTTTTGGGTAGAAGGAAATGTTAGCATTCAACCCTTGGCTAAAGAGTATTTGGGAAGAATGCTTTTTGATAGTTTGTAGTTACTGTTTACATTATTCTGTTCATATATAATTATCACCACCATATTGATGAAGCCAAATGCTGTTCTTATCATTTAGTGCAAACTGAGGCTTTATGTGCATGTTTAGAGAAACTGGGCTTTATAGTTCCATGTGATTAAGGGGCCATCATTGTGACAGTTGTGATAGTGGTAATGACGGTGAAGACATGCTGAATTTTCTGGAAAGAGTCACTGCATCAATCTCTTCTGCTATTTAGGTTTGAATTGCCCATCACCAGCAATTCCCTAGCAAACAAAAATTTTGAGTTCTGAGAATTTTCTTACAATATAGTACCATTCTAATATTTGCTTTAATTTGCATTTTATTATTGCATTATTTGTGTTTCTACCAGTAGGACTGTTTGGGCTCAACAAACTTGGGTTTATATATCATCAGAGGAACTGGGTGATTATTACAAGAAGGCAGTTTACCCAGTTTGCTGGCAGTTAACTTTCTCCATAGGAAGCTGACTGGTGTAAAAAAAAACTGTTGGCAGAATTTGAGGAAGTGTGTGTACAGAGGAAGTGAAAAAGATTGGAGCAGAGCCAGAGGATGAGGGAGAAGAAATAGTGGGTGAAATTAATTTTCCAATTTTGTTGATTCTCAAACTTCTCAATTCATGGAACACCAAATTGGCTAAAGATCTAATCACTTGCCACTGGGAGAATCTACAAAATTAAATCTCTGTAAGTAGTGCTGATTTGATTGAGATAGTCATTCCACTTATAAAATCAAGTATCTAAGTTATACCTAAAACAATATGTAGAATTTCAAATTCTGAATGGTCTGCTGGTTAGATTGTGCTTTGCCTTTGACTCCGTTGCCAACATTAAGCAGTGAAAATGAACAGTTGCACCAGATGCCTGAGTATTTCACTGAATGTGAGAGTTTCTACTAGGTTGCCTTAAATCCAGAAATTTTGTTAACAAATAATTGAGAGGATGGGAAAAGAGAAGAATAATGAAAAGAAAGCAACTAATTTACATAAGACTTTAATAGTGGGGTAGGAATTGGGTTTGCTCCATGAGTGGTCTTCTTAGCTATGGAGTCTTCTGTCATTCTACAGGTTTTTATCCTGTACTCTGGTTTTTCCTTACTTTTGCTTTAGATACTCATTCTAGTAGTGACAGCCTATACAGAAAAATGTGTTTGATTTGCACAGAAGTTAAGTGCCTTAAAATACTTTTTCCTTTAAAAATTCCACCTGATTCTAAATAAATTGGTTGGAAACATCAGCTTAGATTCAGGAGCACTGTTGCCACATTTCCATGAGTGAGATCAAAATACAAAAATAGTCTTTCATTTACAGATAGAAATAGCAAGTATAATAGGGCATTTTATGTTCTCTGGAGAGAGAAACTTATTAAGTTTAGGAGGAAGCTGTGGTGATTTTGCTGTTTCTTTTGTTCAGATTCTGAAAGTTTCTAAAGCATATCTTCTCTGCCAATCTTGCCTGATCTGGGAAACTCCCTCTGTCTCACTTGAGCATCTAGTTTCGTTTTTAGCGTATTGTGTCCCACCAAGAGACGTGATGAGCCTACAAGTTTGATTTGCATATAGAAAGATGTATCGGGTCCTACAGAGTGAATCAGTGCTTCTCTTCCTCCTTGTCTTTCTTACTCTCCATCCAGCACACGCACTTCACCAGCGCAGCAGGAACAGAATCTTATTACATTTTAAACAAATATTCACAAAAGAATCTAATCTTAAAACTGCTGGGAACTTCAGACCAGTGTATTGAATTTGATGAAATATTAGATTTTGTCACAGTTATATACATGTACTGAACAGTTTTATGAAACATGTGGATGGTTTTGTGTATTATTTGAAGATGTATTTTCTATTGGTTTTAATTTTCTTAAAAATCCTCCTTTGCAGCTGAGTTAAGCCCTAACTTACAGTTCATTTTATTTTGATAGATAGGTTTATATAGATGATCAGTAAACTAATTTCACTATTTTTAAGCTGTTAGAACATGAAAAAATTCAGGAAATGCTTTTGAATTAATTTAGATTTATAATGAAACTTTTCCTAATGTAGTAAAGTTTATATATATTGTGTTGTAATTCTTAGGAGAATCATTGCCCTTCATGAAGTATGCAGAGAGAGAGAATGAATAAATGAATGTATGTGTGTATGTATGTATGTTTGGACATATAGAGAAAAGAGGAAAGTCTTGTGTCCATGAGAAAGCTTATTTCTCACTTCAACTAAAAATATCTTAGTGATTATTTGAGTTTATAGTCAATAATAAGACTTTAACACTGGAGTTTGAACCACAGTTGTGAGTGACACATATATGTTCTAAGCCTTTACACCTGCAGTTGTTTGCATGTGGATGGAATTATCTGAGATTATTATGTCATATAAAACAATGGTAATTTTTTATTGAGTTCATAATAGTTTACATCATTGTGAAATTTCACTTGTACATTATTTCTGTCTGTCACCACATAAGTGCTCCCCTTCACCCTCATTCCCCTGGTAACCACTGAACTGTTTTCTTTGTCCCTGTGTTTGTTTGTATTCCACATATGAGTGAAATGGCTTGGTGTTTGTCTTTCTCAGTCTGGCTTATTTTGCTTAGCATAATTCCCTCCAGGTCCATCCATGTTGTTGCAAATGAGATGATTTTGTCTTTTTTTATGGCTGAGCAGTATTCCATTGTGTATATATATATATATATATATACCGCATCTTCTTTATCCAATCATCAGTCAGTGGGCACTTGGGTTGCTTCCATGTCTTGGCTATTGTGAAAAATGCTTCAGTGAACATAGGGGTGTATAATTCAGTTTGGATTGTTGATTTCAAATTGTTTGGGTAGATACCCAGCAGTGGGTTAGCTGGGTCATATGGTATTTGTATTTTCAGTTTTTTGAGGAATCTCCTTACTGTTTTCCAAGTGGCTGTACCCACCACAATGGCATTCCCACCAGCAGTGTATGAGGGTTCCCTTCTCTCCACACCCTCTCCAACATTTATTTTTAGTCTTAGTCATTATAGCCATTTTACCAGGTGTAAGGTGGTATCTTAGTGTAGTTTTGATTTATGTTTCCCTGATGATTAGTGAGGTTGAACATCTTCTCATGTGTTTATTGGCCATCTGTATATCTTCTTTGGAAAAATGTCTGTTCACATCCTCTACCCAGTTTTTGATCGGGCTGTTTGTTTTTTTGTTCAGTTGTGTGAATTCCTTAATATTATGGAGATTAACCGCTTGTCACATATATGATTTATATTTTCTCCCAATTGGTGGGTTGTCTTTTTGTTTTGATCCTAGTTTCTTTTGCCTTGCAGAAGCTCTTTAGTCTGATGAACTCCCACTTGTTTCTTTTTTCTTTTGTTTCCCTTTTCTGAGAAGACATGGTATTCAAAAAGATCCTTTTTAGTTCGATGTCAAAGAGTGTACTACCTATATTATCTTCCAGGAGTTTTATGGTTTCATGACTTATCTTCAAGTCTTTGATGCATTTTGAGTTTATTTTTGTGTATAAAACAATAGTGATTTTGACTTCTGTGGACAGGATGAGTTCTTCAGCCTTCTTTCCTGCAGCTTTAATCTGTCTCAGTTTTTGCCTCATCATATCTGTAGCGGTTGTAAAAGCTAAAATCAATGGATGATCACTGAGGTAGTGATTTTTAATACAAGCTGGTATAAATGAATTATGGAAGTTGTAGAAATTAAAGAATTTCCTTTCTTAATTGTTAGTCATGCCTCAGATTGATTAGTGGTATTCAGTGTTGTAAGTTTACAGCAGGATTTTCCATGGAAGAGAACAGATTTCTTTGTTCTAAGACTCCATTTGAACTAAGATACATACGCAGTTTGGTTTCAAGTGAGACATAAATGACTTAAACGTTTCTTATTTTTTACTGAGGGAAATCTTTTATGTTTGCTTAAAATGTCAAACATTTCCCATCCCTTCATTTTTTAGATCAAGAATTTATGTATGATAATCTCTCCTCATTTTGTTATGTACCCTGGCATACTTCATTTGAATCCTTTCTAATAGTACAAAAGTTATGGTTAAAAAATATTTAGAGTGGGCATGGTATTTATAAAGTTCTGCTTTACATTTGGTCTCTTAATTATAATGAAGTTATCGTTATTCATTATCCTATCAAAGAAATTGGAGTTCTTCTTACAATAGGAATATTAAGTGGAAGAAAGGTCCTCAGAGTAATTCACTTATTTTGATTGAAATGAAAATGAAAGTGTCTTTATGTGATAACTTAGGACATAGGGTAAATAACTCTTTTAAGCATTTGTAAAAATCAGAGAGAGCTTTTAAAATATTGAATACATGCCATAAGGTCATAATGTAAAACTTACTCTGTATCTGATGCTTTGACTCTTCTTTTAAGATAAGGACTCGTATTCAGATAAGTTAAGATTTAGATTTAAAAGAAGACTATCAATTCTGATAAGCCTACAAATTACTTTTTAGTCGACTGGCTATGCCCTTCCTAAACAACTCAAACAGGTTTCTTTCCTCAAGAGGTAAGACGTTCATAAATTTTGAAAGTAAAATAGTAATGCAGTTTTATAAAATATAGTTCAGTTTAGGCTAAGATGGAAAAAGAGAGAGAGAGATGAGCTTGGAGTTATAATGATTTACTTTTCGGAATAGATCAGGTGTCACAGGTCACTATGTCATTTCCCTGCAGTGCCTCTCCGCTGTCTGCTGGATAAAGCCCAAAGTCTGTAACTGTCCTGCACGCCCCTCCTAACCATCTGTAATGTCTTGACACTTGTAACTCTGTGTCTTTTACTTTATGCTTTGGCAAGACCAAACTGCTGATTTTATGTTAATTATGTTATATTGTTTCTTCTTTGAGGGCCTTTTTCATGCTGGTCTCTCTAGCTAGAATTTTTAGTTCCATCTTTGCCTACCTAGTAAGATCACTTTTTTGAGGAAGCTGTTTTATAAACTTCACACCTCACCAGCTGAGTCAGGTGCAACCCCTAGCTTGGAACTCCTACAAAATAACTATACGTATCTATACTATTTATCTAGATAACAGTGCACTCTTATTATGTTAGGATATCTCTTTGTATGTCTTAACTGTTCTAGAACGTAAGTTCCTTGAGAGCAGCTACTTTGTACTGTTCACTTTTTCATACCAACACAACACATAATGCGTGCTCAGAAAATATTAAAGTGGTAGTTGTTTTGAGCTTGAAGTAAGGGGGACAAAAGGAAAGTAGACCTTTAGCTCTCTTCTTTCCATTTCTACTGCCACTGTCCTAGAGCCTCCCAGCTCATTTTTCACTCTAATTTTTTCACCCTTCAACTCCATCCTTGTTCTATTCTTCACACTGCAGCTGTGGTTCCCTTTCTAAGTCTGAAATCTGATTATGGCACCCTCCAGCTTCCCAGTTGTCTCCAAATCCTTTTAATAGTTCCGTATTGATCCTACGAGAAAGACAAAACTCTTTAACATAGTTACAATGCCATGAATAATGTCACCTTAGATTTCCAGCCTCAGTCTTTGCTTGTCTCTTGTCAGAAGTCTATGCTTCAGCTACATGGAACTCCTTTCAGTTCCCAAACCTATGCACCTATTATTCTCCTTGATATGAATGCTGTTTGCTTCTCCCTCCAGCCTTGCCCCAGTTCACCCGTATAATTTCTGTTCATCCTCAGGCTTCAGCTTCAGCACCTTCTCAGAGCACTCTGCCCTCCACAAGTCCGGGTTGAATACCTCTCAGCTGTGCCCACATGGCATTCCATCCTTACCTATATCAGAGTTCTTATCAGACTGTACTGAACTTGCCTGCTAACATGTCTGTATCACGCATTCTATAGTAAGCTCTGTTAGTAATAGCAGCAGGAGCAATGGCAGTGGTAGTAGTAACTATTTATTAATGACCTGTACTTGATATAGAAGTCAGGCATAGTGCGAAGTAAATATCACCTTATTTTACAAATGAGGAAAGTAAGTCAAAGAGATGAAATACTTTCCCAAGTCAAAGTGCTAATAAATAGCCAAACCAGGATTCTAACCCAGGTCTTTCTGGCTGGGCCTATACTCCTAACCACTATACTATGTTCACTCCTTGGAAGTGTGTTTATGGGTTACCGTAGTGGCCCCAGCACCTTAGCACATTGATTGGCATATAGGAGGCATTTTATAAATATCAGTTTAATGAATAAATGATTGGTAAAACCAATGCAAGGAAATAAGACTTGGGGGTGGAGTGTGGAGCACAAATTAATTCATCAGCATAGCAGAGTTTAACGAGGAAAGCCTTAGTGGGTTGATGACTTCTTAAAACTCAGAAAAGATGTGAAGCAATGGAGGCCTAGGCCAGAAAAATGACTTTGAGCAGAAGGGCGACAAATGTACGAAAAGATACATACGGTAAGAGGTGTTAGGTTTGATGACGAATTGATTGTTACCAAAAATGACTGATTTGCATTGCTAAAAACACATTACTTCTCTACTTCTAATACCTAATGCATCTGATATTTATTATTAAGATAGCCAAAGAAGAGGTTAATGATTTAGTGATGAAAAGTGTTGAACCTCTTTCTCCTGGGTGTCTCTTCATGGAACGTTGGCCAAATAGAATATTCTCTTTTGGTGCTTCTTCTGCATCTAGCCCTAGTTATTCAGATTGGCTAGATAGTATTTGTAGCCATTTTTTAAAGATGACTTCATAGAATAATTAAGAAAAAAATATTTAACTAACCTGGGAACAGTCTGCTCCTAGATAAATCTATTTTTATACAATAATCAAGTTATGTTTTAGCCTGAATTCAATTAGTAAGCAGTTTACGTGGCAGTTGTTTCATGGAAATGCTATTGCCTTCTAACAAAGCAAATAAACTCTAAACATGAGGCTGTGTCCATCCAGGAGCTTTTCACACTGCTGAAGCTGAAACCGATCCTCAGAGTGTGACTCAGATATACGCATTGCCTGAAATCCCTCGAGATCAAAATGCTGCCGAATCCTGGGAAACCTTAGAAGCGGTATGTGAAACATTATTTTCCTTTTGGTAGCTGTGAGGCATAAGAGTAAGTAATTTCCTCTTTCTCTCTCTTTTCAAGGACTTAATCGAACTTAGCCAACTGGTCACTGATTTCTCTCTCCTAGTAAATGTAAGTATATAACTGTTTTTGGCTCAGAGACGTTAGATTAATAGGATAAGAGGCTTTTATAAATCACTAGGCTTTTGATTAGGATTTTAATAGAAGTTACAATTTGTAAGACTGGTATTGAACCATGGATAGAAGTCTAACTGTCCTCAAATTCCAGATCAATTCAATAAACATTTATTAAGCACTTGTTATATAAAAGGCACTGTCTTAGGTGCTTGGCATTGGGGATCTGACAAGGTTGGATAAAGAAAGAAAGGAAGCATGCTGTCTGCCTTCAGGGGTTTACAGTGGGTGGAGATATGCTTGGACCCCCAAAACTGAAATTTCAAGTGTGATTGTTAAATGCAAAGACAAGGTATGAAGAGAAGTATTATCCGCTCCAAGGGAAGGAGGCAGGGATTGTGAGGTGGAAGCGTCAAGGGTAGCTTCACAAGATAGGTAGTATTTGCTTAAGCCTTGAAAACTGAGTAAAGTTTCCGCAGGTGGGAGAGAGGGAGTGCATTTGAAGAACGCTGAACAAAGCCTTGGAGTAGTGAAGTGTATGGCCTCCCAGGAATGACAAGTTCTGCAGTGTAACCAAAGCACAAGGTACCATGGGCAAGCAAAGCAGAGTGGCTGAGGGCCAGGTTTAGATGGTACTGAAGGCCATACCAAAGAATTTGCACTTTGTAGGCATTAAGGAGCCAATACAGGTTTTTGAGCAGGTTAGAGTGATGTGATCCTGTCCGTGTTTCAGGAAGATCACTGTTAGCGGTATGAGTAATGGCCTTAAGAGAGGAGGAGGTTATAGGCAGGACAGCTAGTTAGGAGTCATTGCAAGAGTTGCACCAAGAGCAATGGCAATACAAGTGTGAAGGTAAAGGAGAGCTGAGAGGCATTTCTGGGGTGCACTTATTAGGAATTGGAGGAAGATGAAAGAGTCAAAGATAAGAAACATTAAGGCTTTATTCGGCATAATCGGGTAGACAGTGATACTGTTAACATAGATTAGGGAACATAAAGTAGATTTGGTGGGAAAGATAGATTTTCTGTTGTTATTTTTTTAAATTATTCTTATTTTTCCTTCCCAGGAATTATGGGAAGGTTGGATATGTGGATGTGTGTGTATATGTATGTACATAACAGGCTCGAGCCTGTTTCTGCTTATGCTTCTCTTAGGTTTAATTCTTTGTTCTTGATCAGACTGTGATTTGAGGGTTGCGCATCTTTGAGTTAGGGTTTCCCTGACATCTGGCTTTAAATTATAAGAAGTTCCCAGATCACACAATCTCAGAATTGGAATTGAACTTAAAAGGACAACTAGTCTAATCCTTCTGCTCTTGCCCAACTTCTCAAATAGATGGTTTTTGCCTCTTTTTGAACAATTACTGCAAGGATGCTTTCTGCTTCAACCATTCCGTTTTGAGGCTCTAACTCCAGAAGTTATTCCTTGTACACAGTAAGCTCTGCCCTGTGATAACTTCCCTCTGGCACTTTGGCCCTCTGGAGCCGTATACTGAACAAATTTTGTCTTTTTCCCATATAAATGTCTCTACTTTTTGAGACCAACATTTTCCTCCTTCACCCTACCCCACCTCACTGTATTTTCTTCTCTTAAGAACCCTTGACTGTCTAATGTGTTCCTTCTAGAATGTGATTTCTAGTCTTTTTAGTACTGGCCCTTTACTCTGCTTGTTTTCTAGTTTGTGGATTTTTCTTGAAATGTAATGCAAAAAATTGAATGCAGTAAATTGTTTAAAGCGTTTTTCTTTTTTGATGGCTTTAAGTCAGAAAAAGCAAAATGTTTGAAGTTTATGGAGTAGATATCTGTACAATATATTAATATATTTACGTATAAAAGGGAATGATACAAGAATCCCAAACTATTTTTGTTTCTAGAATCAAGATTTATTCAATTATTCTAACTCATAATCTCTGATCTAATGTAGTTTTTAAAATCTGTAATGTATGATTACACAAATATATACATTTGTCAAAAGTCATCAATATGTACACATTACAATGTGTGAGTTACAATGTATGTGAATTATACCCAATAAAATTGATTTAAAAAACAAACTAAACATGTATAAAGTTCTTCTCATTCAAGACAAGTACGTTTCCCTCCTAGTGGGATAGACACATGAAAGGAAAGTTAGGGGTTTGTGGCCATGTAACAGTTACATATCCGATTAGGTTACGTAAGCAGCTCCTAACCCCTAATCTAAGGAGGTTCGTACAGGAAGACTTTGGCCATAGCCATAGCTCTATACAAATGTCCTTTTTATAATAATCTGTAAGGACATGAGACGGAATGCTATTAGGCAAAAGCTCAAAGGAGAACCTCTGATTACTATCCCCAGGGTGACTGAGTTCTCGTGACCACATGGTCAAGGATTCACAGAAGCTCCATTTAGGCACCAAATGACTTGGGAACATAACCAGAGTGACCACACATCCTCTCGTTATCATCACATGGTCATGGTAGTATCTGGGCCAATTAACCGTGTGTTTCTGGAGCACTTTCTATGCGCATAGTACTGTGCTAAGCTCCGTGAAAAACAGAGAATCGTATAAAAAGAACCTATAGGATGGTCGCGGTAGCTGCACAGCATCGTGGATGCGTTTAATGTACTGAACTGTATATTTAAAACTGTTAAAAGTTCAAGTTTTATGTTGTGCGTATTTTTACCACAATCAAAAAGAACCTTCAAGGCCCTTGGGAGATCCAGGTGTGGTCCAGTAGATGTGAATAAATTCCTATCTACTAAGCACCCTGCATCGTCTTTCCTCTGCCATTATTGCTCAAGTGCCCTCTTCTCTTCCTGTGACTGTGAAGCCAGCCTTATTTCTAGTCAAGGGGATGTAAAGAACTGTGGGCCAGTCGCTTAATAGCATGGCACCCTTGGTGCTGGTCCAGTTTTGTCTCTCCCTTTTGCCTTATTCCTTATGGCTTTTATAATCTATTTTTACTCTGGATGCATAAAAACTGGGTTGTGATGGATTAGATCAGATTCCTCCATTTATTACCTATGTGACCTTCGGGGTATTGTGTTGACAGCAATGAGCTTTGTAAAATTAATCAGAAGACTCAATGAGATAGTGCCTATTACTTCCCACCCCCTTCTCTTCTACTGACCCCAACTGCATTTCTGCTTTTGTCCCTCTCTCATTTGATTCCCTCTGTGGCTCCTTGCTTAGAATTCTGCTTTTGCCACCATCATTATGTTTAAACATTTTAGTACGTAGTTCCTGACTCCCTCTTTTATTGCTGGATCTCTTGCTGTCAACATTTTACTTACCTACTCTGTTTACCGCCTACTCTAGGCCAATATAATTCTTACTGTGCCTGTATGTCATAGTGTTTGTAAGCTTGTTTCTGGGCTTTTCTGTGTATATAAGTGCATGTGATTAAGGAGTATAGATTACTTACCTTTGGAGTTCAGAACCAGGATAGCTCAGTGTTATCTGGGATGGTCAAGCTGTAAGACTAGAGCTGCTATTGAAAGTAGCCTGGAAGTTAGAGAGTCAGAAATAAAGGAAAATACCTAGAGTTCTGATGTTAGCTTCTTCAAAGAAACCTGTAGCTTTCCAAGCACATTAATAAAACTACACAGCCACTAGCAAGACTCTCCGTGGGAGAGCATGTATTATGGCTCCAGAAGGATTTGGGGGTGGGTTTGTTGAATGCATTATTGTTGCTTGATGCAGAGAATGCTGGGCCTACAAGTGTCCACCACAAGCTTTCAAGGGAAAAACTTCTTCATTAGTTTTGACTTCAGATGCCCAAACTGCATTCTCCTTGACAAGTATTAACTTAGTAAGTCAAATTTTCTTCAAAATCTTAGGTGCTCCTATAACTGCTCATTAAGATTCACTTATTTTTTTCACGCAGGTAAGGGGACCTAATTCAGTGTTTCTTAAAATGAAATTCATAGACATATTCTTAGAGTCTTTGAAAATTCTTTTTCTTTAAAAAGGAAAGTTTTTATAGTACTCTAGTTTGAGAAACACTACGGTGTCCCTCATAAATGGTTTAGTTCATTGTTAAAGGGATGCTGAGAACATATATGAGGTGCCAAAGTATAAAATGTCAGGAAGGGAGTTTGAAGGTTGTCAAATGTTGGAGGCCCAGGGAGGTGAAAGCAAACATAAGCACATCGGAAGCAAAAAGGGGAGGTTGGTGGATAGAGGTGAGAAGGCTGCTGAGCCACCATTGCTGTCAGCTTGGTTTCCTATACTGGGGTAAGTTTGTGTATGTGTGGTTTGGCCCAGCATAAAGAGCCAAAGACATAGCGGACAAGTGGTGACCAGATTCAGCTCTGAATGGATTCTAGTTTGGCAATCTCTGGGGAGTGATTAACAACTTTGACACCAGTTTGCTGCCTAACAGTAATTGCTGTGTCATTGAGTCCTTCTTACTCAAGAAGCAGAATTTGAAGATATGGGCAAAGTTTGGGATTCAAACCAAGCAAAATAGGGAAGGAGCAGGCAGATCTGTACAATGAGGGACGACTTTTGATCCCAGGGTAGAGGCTGGTCTTCCCTCTGCCTTGTCTCCAGGCCCGTGTTTAAGCAAGCGCCCTGATGTCAGTGAATGAATCCTTACAGGTGTGGGCTACTCCCCATGGTGAGACAGGCCTCATCAGGTTCTGGGATTGCGGTGATGGGGAGCATTGCAGTTCAAATAACCACTGAGCTCAGGCTTCATTTGGCCCTGTGATCCTTTCTCCAATTATTCTAAAGGATCTTTATGAAAAAATAATAAAGTAAAATTTTTAAATTTCACTTAAAAAAACTCATAGAGCTGCAATATGCAACCTTTTTAGGAAGGAGCATTAAAAAATATTTCCCTGAGGCCTCGAGATTACACTTGGGGTACAGAAATGGCAATAATTATGGCAGATTCCACCATCTTGACGGAACAATTTTGGGGCTGAGAGAAAGACAGTTGGCTATTTTCCCTCTACGCCTCAACTTGTCAAGATACGGAGGTTGATGATCGAGTTTTACATCTGTGATTTATCTGGTAGCATAGACTTGATGCAAGAACAGAAAGTGTTGGGGATGTCCCAAATAGAAACAAGGATAGGGTATCAGAAATCCTGACAAGTGGCACTTATGCTTCTGTGGGTTGGGAAAGGAGAGCTAACATTAAAGAAGTTTTATTGTCTGAGGAAAATAAAAACTGAGTACATGAATGCTAGGAGAGATCTAATGTTTTAGTGCCCTAGAATTTTCAAGCATTATAGGAAAAAGTTTAATATTTTTTTGATAGCAAAGAATGATGAGAGTTAAGCTTTCTTTGGAAGATCAGCATGACTTTTTCTATTTTTCCCCTCATATTCTACAGACACTATCTCATTTTATCCTCACTTCAACTCTGTGAGGTATGAGTATCATTATCCTCACTTGGCAGACGAGAGTACTGACATATAGGGAGCTTGAGTAGTTTATCCAAGGGCACACAGTGCTCGTGCTGGGATCTGAACACAGGACATCCAACCAAAGGTTGTGCCCTTAATCCTATCATATATATATACTTGTGGTTTGTTTTTTTCTTTGCTTAGGAAGATTCACCCTGAGCTAACTTCTGTTGCCAACCTTCCTCTTTTTGCTTGAGGAAGATTCGCCCTGAGCTAACATCTGTGCCAGTCTTCCTTTGTTTTGTATGTGGGTCACCACCACAGTATGGCTGCCAAAGAGTGGTGTAGGTCTGCACCCAGGAACCAAACCAGGGCCGCCAAAGCGGAGCATGCCGAACAACCATGAGGCCATGAGGCTGGCCCTGCTAGTGGCTTTTAAAGTTTGAGAATCATGGACTTGTAGTATCAGCACCACCTGGGAACTCATTAGAAATGCAAATTCTCAGGCCTCATCCCAAGCCCCCTGAATCAGAAACTCTGGATGAAGTTCTCCAGGTGATTCTGGTGCACACTCCAGTGTGGAAACCACTGTTGTATTGGTCTCTGACGACGTTAGAAGAAGACTTATAGAGGACTTTTTTAGGGATTGTGTTAGAGATGTCAAGATGGTGGAGAATATAGCAATGAAGGGATACCATGAAAGGTCTAACGGTGAAGAGGTACATACCTGGCGTCTGAGAAGGGAAGGAATGTCAATAATGTGATAGGAAGCAACTGTGAGGAAACAATTAGCTGTGTTGTTTGGGTGTCCTGTTCTCGGATGAAATGATGATTGGAATTAGAAGAGTGTTGGTCACATACGCTTCACTATAAGTGACTAGGTCAGTTATATAAGGACAATCAAATACTTCAGGGTTCAAATTGAATTATTTCACAGTCATCGAAGAAGTTGGCATTTAGCTAGGATCAAAGAGGGATTCTCTTCTTTTTTTCTGTGAATTAAAAAGACTAGTCTGTATATTGATGTGATGGTGGTTACGTGGGTTTATGCATTTATCAGAAATCATCATACTATACCCTTAAAATGGGTGCATATTATTATATGTAAATTCTGTCTAAATAAAGTTGATTTAAAAATGGGAATGTGGGGGCTGGCCCTGTGGCCGAGCGGTTAAGTTCGCGCCCTCCGCTGCAGGCGGCCCAGTGTTTCGTTGGTTCGAATCCTGGGCACGGACATGACACTGCTCATCAAACCACGCTGAGGCAGCATCCCACATGCCACAACTAGAAGGACCCACAACAAAGAATATACAACTATGTACCGGGGTGCTTTGGGGAGAAAAAGGAAAAAATAAAATCTTAAAAAAAAAAAAAAAATGGGAATGTGTACCTGTGGCCAGTAATGAGTTTCTGTCACTGAGGTGTTTGAGCAGAGGTTCAGTAAGCGCTTGTCAGAATGTCGTAGTGGGGCTTCCCACATCTGAGGGAGAAATCGCACTCAGCAACCTAAACATTCCTTCTACCCAGAGGTTCCATGAGTCACAATTTCTGTTGTGTCAGCGCAGGTGTTGCCATTTTGTGTAGAATGCTTGGTTAATATATTTGATCTGAAACATTTTAACTTGTCATGATTTTAAAATGTATTAAAGTGTCCACGTGTGAAACACAGGACAGTGAATTCATTCACCACTCCCTACTGCATATCACAAGTAGAAAGATTTCATGGCAGATCAAACCATATTGTATTCTTATTCCTAAAACAGTAATTTGTATTTATCGTGGCATCAAGGGTGTTTTACTCCTAAGGCAAATTTGCCTGTTTTAAACTGAATCTTCAAAGAAGATAAGTTAGGGAGGATTTTTGCTTTGATCCTGTTTTTGTTTTTTTCCATCAAACCCAACATGACATGTAAATACTTATTTGGACTTTTTTTCTTTCTCGAAAGCAGATTTATTTGGAGAACAATATGCTTGTATGTTTGAATGAAGTTTAGAGTAAGATGCTTTTTCCTATAAAGGTGCCACTCTTTTATTACTGAATAATTAAGTCACCTTTTTTTATACAAGTGAATTTGTGCTTTCGACGTGGTTTGTCAGATGCTGTTAATGAACTGCTGTTAGACTCCAAGGCTGCGGCACACAGGCCCTGATTACAGGAGTTAAAATAGTGTGCATTGGCTGACTGCTGCTCCGCAGCAGGAGCGCTCACTCATAATTCCTTTGCATCTAGTCCCAGCAGGAGAAGATTGACAGCATTGAAGACCATGTCAACACTGCTGCTGTGAATGTTGAAGTGGGAACCAAAAACTTGGGGAAGGTAAGATTCTTCTCCTGCTGACAAATCAATGGTACTCTGGCTCCTAGGAATCTCTAGTATTAACCCAATTGATCTGCTGTCTTTAATGTTGAGGGAACCAGCAATTAAGGAAATAAGGAAGAAATGACACATAGGTAGTGTAAGAAATCAATGGCTGTTATAATATTCTTCTCTAGGATTCATTCTGTCAGAAGAGATTTTTTCAGAGAGAGACTAAACCAAAGCCCCACTATAAGGCATTTGGTGTTACAAGGGAGTGTTTGCAGAGGTTCAGGGAGAGGAATAGAGAGGGTTGCCAGAAGCCAGCAGGGGCAAAAGTGTAAGGACGTGACAGCATGCATGGAGTGGGACCATCTATTTTCCATAGAGTGTTGCTTTTAACCCCAGGTACATAGCACAGAATAATCTCTGTGCAACACAAAAGCTTTGGGGGTATCTGTGGCTGCTGAAACTGTATAAATAAGCCAGCCCGATAGATAGTGGATTGATCGTTTTGTGAGTAAAATCAATTTGCAGCAGTCCACTCTTTGTAGCTCATTTCTCTAAGTTCTGAGATCTGGAGCAATTGTAGTACCTGTGGAATCCTGCCCCACCTCTGCCCAGTACAATCTCTAAGTTTAATTATGTACCAAGAGTTAAAGAGGCATTGCCAGGAGTAATGAGAGGAAAGTGCACATCACCACAGGCAGATATTCTCAACTCAATTTCTAAATTGAATTTTTTTTTTTTTTACAGGCTGCAAAATACAAGCTGGCAGCTCTGCCTGTGGCAGGTGCACTCATCGGAGGAGCGGTAGGGGGTCCGATTGGCCTCCTTGCAGGCTTCAAAGTGGCAGGAATTGCAGCTGCACTTGGTGGTGGGGTGTTGGGCTTCACAGGTGGAAAATTGATACAAAGAAAAAAACAGAAAATGATGGAGAAGCTCGCTTCCAGCTGTCCAGATCTTCCCAGCCAAAGTGACAAAAAATGCAGTTAAAAACCAAACTTTAGTATTATTGGTGCCAACATGTCTATCCTAATGAGGACCTTTTCTGCTGTTGGACACTCAGTCAGCTTTTGGAACATGATTATATCAAAATAGTGGCTGTAGATGCTCCAGTGGGACTGAACTGTGATGAGCGGGTATATTTCGTTGTTTACTGGGTTTTTAATGGAGATGTTAGAGATCAAGGAGCCTGGGCTGAGGGTGTATAATGGTTGTCAGGTAAAGTTTAAAGAGTGCCAGGGAGCAGATTTTCTACCTGGAAATATGAAAACTGAACCCATAACTTTGATAAGGTCTTGAGATGTGTGGACATGTTGGGTTACAGAAGAATAGTTTCTTCCATAACCTTGACTTGGAAACCCTAGGGCTAAGCATATTGCAAATATGCTTATTTGTCTCCTAAATATGGGAGATTATTTAGGCCTGTTAGCAAGGAAAGAATGGGAGTTCAGGAGCCTATCTTGTCAAATAGGGAGATCAGGATCCAGCGAGATCCTGGTGAGCTACATAACACAGTCCATTTGGTGAACCCTATTACAGTTTGGTCCAACTGTACTTCTGGTGAAGGAAACTAATAATGTAAGAAAATGGAAAGAGAGGCCCAGCTTCTCTTTCAGATATCTTAATTTGTGATACTGGCTTCTTCTCTGAACTCTTCCTTCTGCCTCTCTTTAAATAAAGAACACTGAATCTCAAATGGTAGGAGACTTATTAGCCCAGTCACTAAGCTTGCTCTGTCAGCCTGTATCTTAAGACCTCAAAGATCCAGTGCCCTGTGTCTTTCCTCCCTTGTAATTTTGAAAAGGTCTTAGACTTGTAGGGTGAATTTTACCCATGTGTAATGAGGACTTTTCTCATAATCTCCTTTTTTGTACTGTCTCCCATCTCTGTTCACCCTTTCCTGTAACCCCTAGGTGGAAAAAAAAAAAAAGAAAGAAATCTCCAAATATTTCCAACATTGTTAGAGTCTGAGCTAAAAAATAAGCAGGGGCAGAAAACAGCAGATCATTTCTTGGGGCCTCTTTCAATTTCAAGGGGCTAATGTGCCCGCCACACAAGGAGTCTCTGACCCTAAGTCCTTTCCTCTGGCCCTCGGGGGAGCTGAGCACCAGCTTTCTACCTCACTTCTGTTACTACCATCCTTTCCCCCAGGCTTTGCCATCTTCTGTGCTTTGCCTCACTTTTCACAGCTGTTACTTCTCTCCAAGAATGGTGTTCGTGCTTGCCTTTCCTCACATTCAAGATGATGATGCAAAGCTGGTGCCAAGACTCAGTCCTGATGAAGGATTTGTGGTGCTAATCCCAACACTTGACATTGACAGCAAGCATGGCCCAGCCCAGCCCAGTGTCTATCTCAAATAGCAAAAAGATTTTAAATTTGGAAAAAAAAGAATTTAAGATTACAGGCAACCTCATCCTCTACCCCCAACTCATTTGAAATAGGAGGGAACCACCTTTTGCCTTACTCTTTAACTCTTCTCTGAGGACAGATGAATGGGCACCTCCACCACACAAGGTGTGAGCTGTCTCTGCTCAGGAGCCAAAGAGATCCATCAGGCAGTGGAATGGTTCATCACTTCTCTCTTGCTGAATTTACTCTTAATAACTTTTATTGATTGCTACCTTTTACTTCTGTATCTAATCTAAGGAGACCTTTCTCTTTCATACCTTCTGACTCTCGCCAATGAATTCCAAAGAAAGAAAGCACCATTTGTTATTGTCTTTAAATAGCTGGAATATATCAAGTATTGCTGTCTGCTGACTTGTATCTTTAATATAATACCAAGAAGGAAGTACATTGAATGTGTCAGATTCTGATCCAGTATTTGATATTGGATACCTATAAGGTTGGGATAATAGTTTTAAACTCCGCCTTTTTTCTATTTTCTGATCCTTGCTGTCTCTTTAACACAGGGTGTTCAAACCCGAATGGGGATTTGAATCACCTAGGGTGCATTTAAAACAAGATTCCTAAACTTCAGTCCCACGGGAAATTCTAATAATGGCCAATCTGGCCTGGTCAGCTAAAATTATAAATTTATGATACAGTTACATCAAGATTCAGCCGTATCATCAAATTCTGTAATTTCTAGTACTCTGCCCTTCAGCATGGCCCAGTATTCATCACTGTATGTTACTCCCCCTCTGCCAACCCAGAATTGGCTCTGCCTTTTAGCCCACCATCTTAACAGCACCTGGGACTCAGACTGTCAGGCTGGTTCTACATCAGGACCTTAAGGAGAGAGGAGGCCTGTAACTGAAGCTCACATTTGTTTTGGGATCTCTCATTTTTACTGAGTTGGTGTGGCACACCACTGTATGTGATGGTATAGGCCTTTGATTTTTACTCCTCATCAGGAATGGAATATTACTCTAGTGGTCTCCATGCTTAGGCAAGTTACAGTCCTTTTAAAAAGTTTTATAATTTAAAATTATTTAGAAATTGTATCTAATTTTCCCATAATAGAACCGAACAGCCAACTTTTTGTAGAAATTTCTAGAAGTGTTTAATCAAGTATAAATGATACACCTATAAACTATAAAGCGTTTAGAAGTATAAATTAGTCAATATGACACAGAAACCCATCAGATTTCAGATTAAATTCATCTTCTCTGTGATTGATGTCTTATAGCAACAAGTTAGAAGGTGAGGAACACTTTAAGTTCTTAAAATTCATAGAGGCTCACTTGGATAAAGGCAGCACTCCTAAAGACTTTTTTGATACAGTAATCTGAGAATTTCTCCATAGAGCAGAGACTTTGAAACTTTTGGTTGTAACCCACAGTAAAAAATGCATTTATATTAAAACTCAGCATATGCATAATGGAACAATGCTTACCATTATGCGCAGTGCACTCTGATGTTTTTTATTGTTTCAGTTTATAAAATATGCTGGTTGCAACCTACTAGGTTGACTTCGTGATCTACCAATGGGGTGCACAGCTTAGTGTGAAAAAAAAGAGCCTTATAGAGGAACTGATGTTTATTGACTGTCTTCTGTTTGTCAGGTACTTTACTAGGAATTTTACAAGTAAGGAAACTGAGTCTTAGAGAAGTTAAATAATTTGTAGAAGGTTGTTCAACTATGACAGGATGAGGCCAGGATGTTGACTAAGTCTGTTGAACTACAAAAACTTCTATTGCTCTCATACTGTGCTGCTTCTGTATATAAAAGTGAGGGAGGCCATTAATTCTGCTTCACCCAAACATCCATATATTCTGTAAGGCAGGCTTGCTTTGAAATGACATGTGCCATTCATTTGTACTTTTTTTAATCTTCTCTTTTCTCACCAAGTGTCCAGTGGCCTCAAAGTTTTTCATGATGGCTGACACAGAAGTACATAGTGCTGAATTTGGTCCTTAGACTATAAAATTAGAAGTATTTCCATCCCACTCACACCTCCTACAAATTTCCTTATATTTATGGGTTATGGCCATCACTTAAACAGTACTTTTATATTTAATTAAAAAATAAACACTAAAGTAATTTTTTAAAACAAATCTATCCTTACTCACAGAATCAAATTATTATCCTTTAAAATGGGACCCTTGGGAAGCCATGCACTTACTGCAGTGACGCTAGTATTACTTAGAACTTTTTTGAAACTTTTCGTTTGGAATTACCTCTAAAGACATTTTGCAAGCCACATAAAAAAGCCATCTCAGTGTTTATTAGTTACAGGCTATACTCCCTCTCCTTAGGACCTCTCCTCTCTTCCTTCCTCAGTTTTGCTTTTCTTCTGCTGGGTTAGCTGTCCTACCCACTTGTGCTGGAGCCAGTAACCTAAGGATGCCCAGAAAGGGGGTATGCTGGCCAGAATTCCTGGACCAAGAACTTTTAGGTTGTACCGAAGCTGAATGCTGTACAGGGAGAGTCCTCTGAATCCACAGCCTTCCTCTGTGGGCTGTCTGCCTGCCCGTAAGAGCCGTAAGTAGTGTGCGCAGGAGTAAGGCCTGAATCCTGCTGATAGCAATCGCGAGAAGTTGAGGAAACCTGAAACAGAAGTATTTAGTGTACAACATTTTTCTCCAGTAAAGGTCCAGAACCAAACCAAGCTGTGCTTTGTGTTAACTTTAAAACTGGAAGGTCTTTCTCAGGGTCCCCTTTGCCCTTCGTTGCTGCCACGTGAAATCTGTGGGAGGAAGGATGAAGAAGAGCCTGAGAAAAAGGTTCTCCTGTGAAACGGGACATTTTCTCCTGTTGTGATAAAGTATAGGCTGGCTGTGGCTCTCAGGTGCCTATGTTAGACAATGTGCTTAAGTAGTCAGGGGTCTAATAAAAGGTCAGGGGGCTTCCCCACTAGCCTGAGTTAATGTGGACAGTCAGGTTATGTTGTGTCTTTATTACACATTTTGTTTGTAACACTTGGTTCTCAGTATTTATGTTCATTAATTTGACACCATTTTACAGAGAAACTTCTTGGATATTATAAACAATCAGTGGTAAACTTAGATCCACATATTATCCACATCACTGCCCTCAGAGAAATTGTTTATTATGGGAAACAAGAACTCCGTCTATGCAATATTAACAAGAGAAATAAATTGAAATAAAAAGTAAAAGATGTCAAAGGCAAATGATTTGCCCAAGATTGCACAAAAGCTAGAATTATATCCATAGTCTACGAAAAAAGTCCTCAAAGTAATTTAACTGAGTTTTTGTTATGCCGTATCAAGTGGCCTACTGAGGCTTGTGGTCTTTCAGACCAGCTGTAACATTCCAAACCAGGCAATAGCCATAGTGGGAAGAGCTGGATGGGGAACCCGGAGATCAGAGTTCTAGTTTTGGCCTTGTCTCCTGTAGTGAGCTTTTTCTCCGGGGTGGCTGCCTTCTTCCATTCCAGCCAGGGATTCCCCAATCGTAAACCTTAGTGGTCACCAACCTGACGTTCTTCATTCTTTCTCTCTAGCCTCTCGCTGGGTCCTGTCAATTCTGCGTTGTCAGTTGCACCCGTTTCTAAATATAATCATGGCCATCGTGCTAGTGAAAGGTTAATTACCTCACACCCCTACCTCATCTTCCCCAGCTTCAGGCTGCTCCTCACATCACTGCCACAAGAATGAGAACCAGGTCTGTCTTTCATTTTTCTGCTTACGTGTTTTCAGTGGCTCCCATTGATACCTGATAAAATTCAAATCCCTAAGGCTGGCATTCACAGCCTTCCATATTCTGGCCCCAGCGTTGTTTCTTCAGACACTACCACCATCTGACAATGCCGCTGAAAGTCAGACACGCCACAAGAATGATTTTCAGGCTTTTCTATGGCGAAGGTACAAACTAGTAATAACTATGTTTACATTGTTCCAGTCTAAAATTTCTGTAGTGCTACATTTTACAAAACTACTTAACTGAAATTTCTTTAAGCTCTTGAACAAGCCTAAAAGTTGTTTCCTAAGGAAAAATAAATCTTTTGCCCCCTCAGAAGAAATTATGTTCGACTTCTTAGCCTCCAAAATAATATCAGTCTTGTCACCAGTGCGTCTGATAGCCAAAGCATGAGAATTTTTCTTAAGCAGCATTGATGCCCCAGCTTTGTATGGACCATTGTCCAGCTCCTGTGAGAAACTTGATTAATAAATATTTGAGAAAAACACTCAAGAGTACATGTTATCCATATATTTCTCAAGTACTTGAGATTTTCTTATATTAAGGTTCATCACTAAAAAGATGTTTTCCTGGGTTTCATTAATTTAATCCCCTAAAGATGTTTTCCGTTTTATTGTTAAACCCTTGGTGTTAGCAAGGGTCAGCACAAGAAAAGGCCCAACAGTGAGAATTTCTACAAATTCTGTAAAGCTCACTGAATTTGTTTATTGATTATGTTGCTGAGTGGTGCTTGTATAAGGAAACATGCAATAAATTCACTCATTCAACAAACATTGAATGAACGCCTGTTGTGTGTTGAGTGCCGGGGCCAGAGAAAAATGTTAGACCTATAGAATCTACTCTTGTAAACCATTCAGACTGACGGATTCAGATATCTAAAGCAAGTAAAACATGGTAAGTACCCTGCAAGAGGAATGAACAGAGTAATCTGAGGGCACAGGGACTGGAGCGACCAGCTTTGCCTGGAGAAGAAGGGGGAGGCTTTGCGGAAGGTGTGGGATTGGAGCAGCACCCTGGAAAGAATATGCCTGACTCAGGACGGTTGTGGGCCTTCGAGTGGTAGAGGAATTGCATGTACAAAGGGCTCAAAGCATGGAAGAGCAGAGTGCTTAGAGAAAGCCGAAGAATTAAATGCTGTGAGTGACTAGGCTGGTTAGATGGAAATATAGGCTACAGTGATTATATAACTTTTTAATTTAATGATTCTTTGTTTAAAGGAATTAGTGTATTGGTTTGTATCAGTTAAGACTGTTATAACCCTCTGAGTTCGTTTTGCCTTCGTTGCCAAGGAAGTTAGTAATAAACCTCACATTTGCCTGGGCTCTTGGTGTATTTGGCATATTTGCTTTCCTTTCCCACGTGTAGGAAATGATTTGTGCTTTCTTGCCTCTCTGCTGTGAGATCCCCTGCTTAATACTGAATGCCTGCTTTCTTCCTGTCCTGCTATTCACTCCGTAAATATTTACTGAAACCCACTGAGAAAATAGTCATAAAATTTACCTTTTAACGTCCAAGACCTTCAGTCCAGTTTTCCATCTCTATGTGAATATTTCTTGGTCACTGCAATTCAGTGGCTCCCATTTTGACTTGTGGCTAATTCTGCAATGTTTTACAATTTCATAAGTATAAAATTCTTTCATTCACGATGGTGTGATCTCCTCAACTAGACTGTGAGCTTCTTTCAAGGCAGGGACCGTATCACCTGCTTCTTGGGGTATTTCCTGGCATGACACAGTGATGAGAAGGGGAAAAGAAATGACACCCCTGTTTAGTGACTCCCAGATGATGAGTGATGAGCTCATAGCATGTGTGTTGGGCCATCTTTCAGGGATATGTATTGAAATGTGAAAAAGCTTTCTGAGACATATCAAACCTTTGCTTGGTACTCATTTTTTTATATTAACATAGGAATGAATAACACAACAGAAGAAATCTGGAAAACATCTCTAGGACTTGGAAGTCATGAAATGAAAATTTCAGAATTTGGAGGTAAAGATACTTCTATCCCTTTTTTGAACTAAAAGTCATGACTTGGAAGAGAGAGGATATAGGACCTGAATTACTGAAGAAATGGTGTGGAAAAATTGGGTTGATCTGTCTTAATGATAGGATTAGTGGGGTCAGAATAGTAGGGACCCAAGAAGGATTTAGAATCGGTTGACCTAGTATTGAAACAGAGTAGCAGCAGGAATGGAATTGCTCTGCCAGGCGAGCAGAGCTTGGAATTAGCAAAGGCGGCCCTAAAGATAGGAAGTGGGCATCTGGTAGGATCTGAACCAAGGTCTCTAATACTCAGGTTCACATACTGATTCCACCAAAAGCCTCTCAATGAGTTGATAGGAATGAAAAGGAATAAAATGCTTGGCACTTAATAATTCTCCGTAGACTTTTGTTCCCTTTCTTTCCTCTCTGGGTTTTGTTTATGAATAACAGGTTGCTGCTCTTATCTGGATTAGGGTGCGGGTCAACAACTCAGGACTTCCTCAGCCCTCGCCTCCCAGCTTACCCACCTCCCCGGTGACACCTTGCCCATCTCACAGGGTGGTCACGAAGATTAGAAGAATTAATGTATGTTAAGTGCCTAGAATGGAGCCTGGCTCATAGTAACTGTAGAAATGTTAGTTGCTACTATTATTGTTGTAATTTACTATTATTATTTTCTCCCAAAGTTTAAAGGAAAGGCATATTAATGGAAAAGTATCACGTACCCACCAGAATAGTGTTAGTAAAACACCTAAAATGAGTGGAGACTTGATAAAAATAGCAAGAATTCTTAAAATGACTTTTTAAAGAGGCTTAATTGTTAAGAAGGTGGTATAATGATGACAGAAGCCTGGTAGAAGGTAAATCTATCTTTCTCATCTCTATTACGAATGGTATCAAAACATGAAAACGTGTGAGATCTGGTTAGGAGGCGGGTGATCAGACAGCCCAGGCTGTTTGGGACAGTCTTGATTTACATCTCGTCCTGGTGAAATTGTCACTCCCTCTCACGCTCAAATGTCCTGGTTTGGATGAAAAAAAAAATTATATGGTCACCCTAGATATAAGGGCAATGAAAATAAGTGTGGAGTTACAAAAAAAAAAAAAAAGGCATCTGTGTTTTAAAAGAATTGTTTCTAGGTTCAGATAAAAAAACATCTGAAAGTTAGTGGGAACTCGTAGATGTGATTGTGAAGCACTACCAGGAATCTCTGAGGAACCAGCAAACAGAAGAGGGGTCAGAACACTGAGCTTGGGCAAAACTCTCAAATTTAAGGGGGTGTATTTGGATTCCAGAAGCCACAGACCAAGGAACTTACCTTCTAATCCTAGGAAATTTCTGAAATGGGCTAGGAAACAATATTTTAAGTCAGAAAGCCATGGTCATTATGAAGACATGAAGAATTAGGAATTAAGAAGAACTGGTAAGTCCAAATAGACGCGCTGTTCTCTCCCCCTCACTGTGTGCACAGCCAGGGATGCCCTGCTATTGCCCATCTTGGGCAGTGGTTAGGGCAAGAAAACAATCATAGCATCAAGCTTTCAAGATTGATCTGATTCTACCCAGGAAGTTTACGCACGGCATTAGGAGAGTGGGCATACAGCTTCCTCCATGGCACCCATCCCAATAAGTCAAACACATGAGACACAGCACAGATAGGCAACTACATGGTCATTTACCCGAGTGGTCAAATTGGGAGAGAAGCAGGGCAGCAATACCTAGCAATACTTTGCTGTACGGTAAGATACTAATAGAGAATAACGACAGCCTCTATTAATGTAATTTTCTTGGAAGGGAGGAGCCTGATGTGTTTAGGAAAGTACAGCTCTTTCTGTTCCTAGCCAAGAAGCTACTTCCTATAGGAAGGCTCCCGACACCCAAAGTTATGCACACATCTCTGTGCCCCTGTGGTTAGCTCACAGCATAGCTCCTATAACTTTCTATTATAATCGTCTTTTTACCTGTCTGTTTTGCTCTTTCACTCAACTTTGAGCTCCATGATGCTAGGAGCAGTCTCTTCTTCACTGTTGTATCCATAGCCTGGCAACAGTAGATAATAAATGTTTGCTGGCTGGTAAGCGTATGATGTTTTGTAAACCACACATGGTATTTTGTCAACTCACTATAGTCTGTCCTTCCACAAGGCTGGGTGACTAAGCCAAGGGTCAGGTCTACTGCACAAAAAATGTGCAGTGTTCGTGAGAAACTTACCAGCACCTCTGTAGGACTCTGCATTGCCCAAGAGGGCACTCAAATGTCATTCTGATAGCGTAAGATTTTACACTGTTCCAGACCAAAACTCTTAGGACCCCATAGCCAATTCAGGATATAGGAATAAAGGTGACTAGATATCAGATAATTGGGATTCACGGATGAGCCAGCAGAATGCATTCCAGTTGTGGTGATGCTTTCTTCTTTATTCATTCATTTGTTCACTTATTTATTATGTAATTTGGCTTTTTTCCCCATCAGATTTATTGATCACCTGCAGTGCTCTAGGTTGCTGGGGATACAAAATGTGTACATGGTGATAAGGAAAAGGGACGTATGTACTTCCAACTGTGTATTAGACTCGGTACTCTCAAACTTGTAAATAAAGGGCCGTGGGACCACAGGGATGTAACTGTCCTGGGCGTTGAAGGCTGGATGGAAGGAATTTACTAGCCGAGGGAGAGGACAGCGGCCTTTTAGAGAAGCACTTGCTAAGCTGCACTCTTCCTCTTCCAGGGACCCAAAACCTATCGTCTAAGGGCGAGCCAGCCCCTCCCCAGGGTGCTCTACCAGCGGGCGCTTTGACCCTTCAGCTGAAGGCCAGGAGCGAGTTATCGGCACATGGATTCGTATAGCTTCCCATTCTGATTCAAGTACAGTTAATCTAAAAACTTTAAAATTGGAAAAAACTAGTGACTCTGGTTATCTGGATTCTGAGTAAAATGTTCACAAATATGATATTATTTATGACAAAGTGAATTAGTAAAAAGTCTCAAGTATAGAAATATTTAATAAATATAGTTTTATTACTTGGAAATACATACAAAAATGCCAACACAGCTAAAAAACAGTTGCCAAGCAGAGGTCCTATTCAACCTGTTTTAATGAACACATAAAACAGTTATGATCAGCATAAAACAATGTAAATCCTGAAACAACGTATTGTCCTCAGGGGTCTTTAAATATTGGGCTTAAAAACTGATTACTGTTTTATTCTTTATACCTATTTAAATTCTTTCCCCCAAGCATAGACTAGTAACATTTCAATTTGGTTCAGGAGATGTTTTATTTAGACAAAGAGCTAAAGCTATTTATTATTTTGAAAACTGCAACACTTGTTTGTCCCTTTCCAGCCTTCTGTCACCTTACATTCTCAAAAATTCCCAGTAGTTGCTAACAGAAAGCATTTGCAACTTCCAGCAGCTTCTGGGATACGAAAGTTTGGGCCTAAGAGCCCTGAAATTATTTAAGGTGGCAAGATGTTTTTTACTTCTCCTTTCTGTGATTTTATGTCATTTTATTTTTGTCCAGCCAGACTGTTTCTCCTTGTCAGAGGAAAAATGGAGTTATTCTGCTTCTCCTGTTAATCCATTACACTCCTTTATCCATTCTTCTTTTTGCCCTCAGGTTTTTTTTTTTTAATGCCTTCTTGGCAACCTTAGCATTTTCTGCAAATTTAAACTCATTTTGAGCTTTAACATTTCGAGCACTTTGATATTTCTGTCCTCTTTTTGGCCTTTATTATGCCAGTTTTTCCTTCTTTTGTACATGATCTTTGACAACTTCAGCAGGGCTCTCTATTA